ATTTATTTGACAGAGAGAGACACAGCGAGAGCAGGAACACAAGCAGGGGGAGTGGGAGAGGGAGAAGCAGGCCTCCCGCAGAGCAGGGAGCCCGATGTGGGACTCGATCCCAGGATCCTGGGATCATGACCTGAGCTGAAGGTAGACGCTTAACGACTGAGCCACCCAGGCGCCGAGTATTATAAATTTAAACATCTCAAATTGAGGAATAGTTTCAGACTTGATTGTCACAATGTTAGTTAATTAACATATAGTCTCTGTCTACATTATGCTCTAAGATTAGGATCAAGTTTATGAATTCAAATTTTTGTGTGTCTTAAAAATAAAATTTTGAAATTATTTTTAATAGCTGGTGTTCTTTCTACTTAATTTATAACTGCTGCTATGCAAATCCAATTCCATGCACTTGACATTTGAGATCTTATAATTTAGCAGGAATTGGTTATTGTCCATTTCTGTAATGAATTCTGTAAATAGCTTTTTAAAGGAAAACTGAAAATACATCAAAATAAATTTAGTGATAATAACCAATGCGAAAACTATTTTTATAAAATTATACATTTATAAGAGATTTTTTATGATTTTAAAAAACAAAATTAAGGAGGTCAAATCTTATGGAAGGAACTGAATAACTTTAGGAATCTTATGTGGTATATACTTACATAAGCATATACACTTATTTAAAGTGTCTAAATGTTATTTTATTCATTCTTAATTCAAATATTTATTATATACTACTGTGTGCCAGGCATTTGATATACAGTGATGAGGAAAACAGACATAGGACTTAGAGTTTAGGTGTGGGAGACAGACAGTTAATGGATAAAACAGATAAGTATATGATTACAAGTTGAGAAGAGTCTTATGAAGATAATCCAGAGATGCTGGGATAGAGAATAATGGGTGGGGTGGAGCTACCTATATTGTATTGACATGAGAGATCTATCTGAGGAGGTAATATTTAAACTGAAACTTAAAGTATGAGAAGGAATTGATGATGGGGATACCTAGGCACAGGCAGGAGCCTTGCTAAAATTCTAAAGTGGGAAAGAAGTCAGTGCACATAAATAAGTTAGCAGGGACATTGCTCATTTTGAGGCTAGAGACCTAAATAAACAAGGGCCAGATCATTAAGGACTTATAGACCATGGTATCAGTAGTTACAATTTCACTGAAATTTCATTAGGAAACTTGTGAGAGCTTTAAGGAAATGTGATCTCATGTACTTTGGCTACTGAGTGGAATTGAACTGTCATGAAGCAGAAGAAGTGGGGTGATCACTTAGGAAGCTGTGGGCAGCAGTCTGTGCAAGAGATAATAGGACTGGACTTAAGTAATGCTGGAAATGTGATAAATGGAATTGGAATATATATATATGCATTTGAGCAATATGTGTTGAAGGAAGAAGAAACATTAGTGACAGTTACAAAGTTTTGTTTTTGTTTTTTTTTTAAGATTTTATTTATTTATTTGAGAGAGAGGTAGGCAGAGAGAGCATGAGCAGGAGGAGGGGCAGAGAGGGACAAGCGGACTCCCTGCTGAGCAGGTAGCCAGTCTCAGGGCTCCATCCTAGGACCCTGAGATCATGACCTGAGCCAAAGGCAGACGCTTAACCAGCTGAGCCACCCAGTACCCCCAAAGTTTTTGTTTTAAGGTTGTGCCACTTCTTGCCCAATATAAATTGCCCATGTTATGACTTCAAAATGTTCTCTTTATTCCATGTGAAAGTATGTTGGTATAAGGATTTTCCAGTATAAAACTCAGTGGTACTTCCAATACAGAATTGTACCTAAGAGGTTAGAATTATTTTAGTATTTTCAATAAATCTTTCTACTTTGATTAGGCAGTCAAATCTCTGAACTAAATAAGTCAAGGAAGGACCTTGTTCATATCTTTAGATAAATTCGAAATAGAATATAGGTGGTAAGAAAGTTATTTTTCTCTATTAAATCTGAATAACTGTCTAACATATAAAAGGGTTCAGTTTAGTTTGAATAATCAAATGCATTATTTTATTTGTTTTCTTTTATGGACATACAAGTTAGTTTTTCCTATAATTTAATATTTCTCTGGGATTCTTCCCCACTTAAAAGTTGATTGTGCCAGGAGAAGATTCTAAAATTAGTTTAAGAAAAGCTCAGTTTGATAAGGAATTTGGGAGGAAAGACATTTGAAGCACTTACCTTTAAGCTTTAGTTGTATAGTCTTTTACCCTCATTGTTGAATCCTCATAGCCCTGCCCTGTCATTTGTCTGAATAATCAGAAAATGAAATTGCCAATTATATATTCTATCTGATTTTTCTCAATTTGTTAAGTATTTTTGTTAAGATTTATTAGAGAGAGAGAGAGCAGGTGGAGGGGCAGAGAGAGAGGGAGAGAGAATCCCTACGCATGGCTCAATCTCAGGATCCTGAGATCATGACCTGAGCTGAAACCAAGAGTTGGGCACTCAACCAACTGAGCCATCTAGGCACCTCTGTCTGTTAAATATTTTTATTGTACATATCAAAGTCATATTAACAAGGTAGTCTGGATATTCACAAATAACAGTTGATAGCATAAAATTAGAGAACAAGTAACATTAAGATTCTAGACTGTGAGTAATGTTTTATATTATTTTAGGTTATCAAACAGGGGCTCACAGCTAATTCTTTACTAGACAGAGGAATGCAGCTTTCAGGATCAACTTCGAAGTAAGTAAAAGTTACATACTTTTGAAGTTCAAAGTCAGTCTTTCTTGATTATTAGATATTTGGCATTTATCCTGAGAAATAACCATTCTTTACTTGACTATAAACTTTATTATTTATTTATTTAAAAAATGTTCCCTTCTAATTTAATTCTTTGACCCATGGCTTATTTAGAAATGCAATGCTTAATTTCCACGTATTTGAGAATTTTAAAAGATACCATTTCATTTCGTAATCACATAGTATGTTCTTTATGATTTTGATCTTTACATTTGTTGAGACTTGCTTTGTACCCCAGCTTGTAGTCTGTATTGGTGAGTGTTCCACAAGCAGTAGAAAAGAAAGTGTTTTTGCAGTTGTTGGATGGAGTATTGTTTCATTTTTTTTTTTTTACAGCTTCTCATTTTTATTTATTCATTCTTACAAATAACATTTCATTGGCTGTCATGTGGCAGGAATTGTCTAGGGCCTTGGGAAAATGAAAGAAAAATAAGATTAGTTCTGGAACATTTTTTTTTTTAGATTTTGTTTATTTATTTGACAGAGAGAGTACGGGAACACACAAGCAGGAGAGGGGTCCGCAGGCAGAGGAAGAGCGAGAAGCAGGCTCCCCATTGAGCAAGGAGCCCAATGAGAGGCTCAATCCCAGGATCCTGGGATCGTGACCTGAGCCAAAGGCAGACGCTTAACCCACTGAGCCACCCAGGCACCCTGGAACATTTTTTAAAAATGAAGTAATTACCGTAAATAATTCAACTCTGTTGTCTGTCATGGCTTTGCCAACATTTCTAAGCAGCCACTAGCATTTCTGTTGGACATAATGGGCAAGCCATAACTTGGCATATTGAAATTGGGAACTACCAAGAATTCAGTATTGTAGTTTTCATATTTTGGATAAGCCCCATCAAGTAAATATAACAGCATTTTTTTTTTTCTTACTTGATGTATTAACCATCTTTGATCAGTTTGCATTTTTGCACCTCACTTGTCTCTGCAAGGCATTTGGGACATAAAATAATCTGATTCCATGAAAATTTTAGTTGAAATAAATGTATATTTGAGTGGCATTCATCTTAAGGAAATTCTAACTTCTGTTCTTTTTCATGGTGTTTTTAATATGTATTTTGCTTATTAATTGTATAGTACACCATATACTCCTCTGGAAAAGAAAACTGTTGATAACACAGATGATGAGACATTGACAGAAGAGTGGACCTTGGATCAGCCAGTCTCTCAGACCAGGACCACAGCCATAGTTGAAGTAAAAGGGACTGTTGATGTTGTTCTGACTCCCCTGGTGGCTGAAGCTTTAGACAGGTATTAATTTTGTTGAAAAACATTATTTTTAACTACTATTTTATAAAATGATTAAGCATATGTGATATGATTAGTGTATGTGATATGTGTTCATGAAGAAGATGTTGATGATGGCTATTTTGGTTGAACAAAGATGAAAATATGTTTAAAAGGTCTGTTATCATTTGTTACTTTTTCAGGATAAGTAATTATATTGCAATATTATAATTATATTGCATTATATTTTCCATTTTTTGCTTTGGGCTGATAAGTATAAAATGATCAAACACCCAGGAACTAATTATTATTTTTGATATTCTTACTACTATCTAGTCAATGAAGGGATAAAGGGGAAATAATAGATTACTCTGTCCTGCAAGGAGCTTATAGTCTATCAAGGGAGGTAAAACTACCATGGATGAAATCTAGAATGGAACATAATGGAACAGTTTAGATAAACTAGGCCATAGTATTAAGTGATATTTAAGTTTTTCGTTTACTGTTTTTCTTCCCTCAGGTACATTGAAGCAATGGTTCATTGTGCTAGTACCCGCCATCCAGCGGCAATTGTAGATGATCTCCATGCCAAAGTCCTCAGGGAGGCTGTCCAAAATAGCAAGACTACTTTCTCAGAAAATGTAAGAACTTTTTATTCAATGAGTTTAGCAAATTGAGTACTCTTCATGTATGCATGATATCTGAACTTGAAAAAAAATTGAATGTATTAAAATTTTATCGCCATTTAAATTGGAATACATGGACGTTTCTAAATAGTCTTTATATGTTATTGGCTCCTTAAGACATACCATATAAAACTATACTATGGATTAAATAGCAATAAAATATTTATTGAATTTGTAGTTTTATTTTTTCTTTTATTTCGGAAGTAGCTTAATTGTAAGCCTTTCCTAAAGAACTTTGGTCCTAAGTGAATGAGCATTCTTCCCTGGTACATTCATTTTCTAAGAAAGCAACGCTCCATATTATTTTGGCTTTTCTCTGTGATTAGATCATTTGTATCTTAATATTTTTAGATTATTTTTGTTCACTTCAGTGAATCAAGTCCTTATCTCCTGGTGTGTGGGAGTCTACTTGTGCTGTAGTTCTAGCTATGTAGCCAGTTTCTTAGCAATCACATCCTGGTGCTCCATTTGACTTTCCAATTTATCTGGGTCATATTTAGGCTAGAGACCAGAGGCACGGTAAAGTGAGGCTGATTATTTTTAATGATCCAACTATTCAAAACATTGGCATTTCATGTGCTATAGGTAGTTAGGGTAGAGGTGCACACATCTTACTACTATCGTAAGAAATTTGAAAATATTCTCAGTCAACAAGGAGCCAGTTATCAGATCCAAAATATGCTGTCAAATAAATTCATTTTAGTAATTCTAAAATAATACTTATTGCCATTCTTTTTTTCTGTCTGTTTCTCTATAGACTGGTTTCACTTTATTTTATATCACTTCTCTCAGCCCCTAAGCTTCTGGTATTCTTCCTAGCTTTTCGAAGCTAAACTGGATGGCAGCTGGCATATAGATGGGCATTAGGGAGCACAGTGAATAAGCAAGTTGCTATTGTGGGTGTTGTGGAAATTATGAAAGTTCTGTGAAATAACAATTCTGCTTTAATTTCTTTAGCTATCTTCCAAACCAGATGTTAGAGGAACAAAAACTGAACATGCTACCATAGGAACAACTAACCAAGGACAAGCACAGACAAATCTTGTAATGAAGCAAGATAATGTAACAATTAAAGGTCTTCAGGCTAATGTTAGCATACCAAAGGTAACAATTCAATATTTTAAAAAATTTTCCCAGGGGCACCTGGGTGGCTCAGTTGTTAAGCATCTGCCTTCAGCTCAGGTCATGGTCCCAGGGTCCTGGGATCGAGCCCCGCATCAGGCTCCCTGCTCCGCGGGAAGCCTGCTTCTCCCTCTCCCACTCCCCCTGCTTGTGTTCCCTCTCTCGCTGTGTCTCTCTCTGTCAAATAAATAAATAAAATATTAAAAAAAAAAAAAAATTTTCCTGGAAGAGGAGAACATTTTGGTGGTTTTTATCCTTTGTATTTACTAAACTGAATGGTGGTAGAATAGATTATAATATCAAAAATACATATCTTATTCCTTTGATGATCTAATGTAAAAATTAATAATAGAAATAGTTTACATAAGTGGAATACCGGCTAGTATTTGCTAAAATATTCCCCTCCCTCCAGTAACCATTGAATTATTACTTTATGAGTCTGTTTATAAGCTTTATCTTCATTACTCTCAGACACACAAATAGATATACCATTCCTAACAGTAGTTTTTCATTTTCCTGTATATCTTATGTTTAAGTGATAATATTTCACTTTTCATATCTGAAATTTATGACATTTTGTGTGTTAGGTAAACTTATGTTTGTTACAAGCCTCAGTGGAAGAATCTCCAAGTACAGCTCCTAGTAAAAGTGTGACTCATGTTTCTCTAGTAGCATTGTGTTTTGACAGAATTGCTACGCAAGTTCGTATGAACAGGTAAGAAAGATTTTATTAATTTGAGCCATAATTTTCTTGTTGGATGTAAAAGCAAGCCATAACCATTTTAATACGTATCTGAAAATTCTAATGTTAAAACTCAAAATTGGTATTGGAATTTCAAATATCACTATAGATTAACAAAGTAGGTTTTTTAAAAGTTTGTACTGTTTTACTCATACTGTTTTTCAGTAAACACTGAAAAATTTATTAATATTGGTTTAATTAAAACAGTGGAATTTTTTAAAAAACTGCTTACTAAATGTTTTTACTGAACTATATTATTTAAATATTCACCATCATACTTTTTTTTTTTCTTTTTCCATAAAGAGGTGTGGTTGAAGAGACTTCAAATACAGAACCTGGTAGAACATCAAATTTTGATAGGTATGTCCATGCCACTAAGATGCAGCCTCAGTCATCTGGATCTCTCAGATCAAATGCTGGAGCAGAAAAAGGCAAAGAAATTGCAGCCAAGTTAAATATTCATCGAGTTCATGGGCAACTTAGGGGTCTTGATACAACAGGTAGGATTCTACAACAAACATTTTTTTCTTTGACACATATAAATATAAGAGGATTTTGCAAAAGGAGACATGATTTTTTTCAAATATTGCTATAATTTGAATATTTTATAAGAGAAAGGTATTTCTGCATATATTGAACACATGGTATTTAAATATTTACTCATGTTCTATGAGAATGGAAGGTAAACTTTGGTAGGAAAGTAAGTGGTATGGCCCAAATTAAAGGCACTATTTCTTCATGGTATCGGCTTGCTCATTATAGAAGAGAGAGTATGATCTTTATCGTCTTTCTTACTTTTTAAAATCGTTCTGTTGGCACAACTTCATTAAAAAGAATTAATTGCAATATCAAAAGCAGATGGTCAAGTCTGTAAAATATAGTAGCAATTAGAACGATAGATCTGGCTATGCCTCTTAAAGTCCCTGGTGAGGTGAAAGAGAAAACTAGAGATGTCACATATCCTTTTAATATTTTTTTTAATTATGTTATGTTAATCACCATACATTACATCATTATTTTTTGATGTAGTGTTCCATGATTCATTGTTTGCATATAACACCCAGTGCTCCATGCAGGACGTGCCCTCTTTAATACTCATCACCAAGCTAACCCATCCTCCCACCCCCCTCCCCTCTAGAACCCTCAGTTTGTTTTTCAGAGTCCATAGTCTCTCATGGTTCATCCTTTTAATATTTTTGATGTAATTCAGTACCTTTAGAAGCTTAAATGATCTCAGATTGTCAGAGATTCAATCTAGAAAACATTGAGTTTGTTAGTCTTATTTGAGAGGATTTGCTACACTAAAATCTACATGTGGGACAGATGACCAATCCTGAATGAACAAATGATTACCTTGAATTTGCTCATTATATTCTGTAGGTTTTGAAGGTTCCATGATTCTTGTCTGTATTCTGGGTCTGTATACCTGTTGTGGCTTTCTCAAAGCTTATTTCACCATCCTTGTGTTTGAGAGCAAAGCATTTGACCTGAGGATTCCAAATAAAGAGACTTTTCTTGGCTACCTGAGATCTCTCATCCTAAAGCTGGTACAAAATACAGTGGCTTGAATATAAAAAGACTTTTCTCAGCTCTGTAGTTTGCACTGGCAACCAGTTTGCACTTGCATAAGAGCATAAGAAGTAACTAAATAGAATTTTGAAAAGCACACTATGCAGAAAAATGTCATCAAAGACAAAACATTGTATAAAAATGCAGGGAAAAATGTAATTGTCCTTGCTTATATGTTCATAATCCTTTCATCTGTGAAAGGATCCTCAGTAATCTAATGACATTTGTTACCTATAGGGAGAGGAAGTGGATTCCTGGGTGTGGTGTCAGAGGCTTTTCATTGTATACTCTTTCACACGTTTTGGATCTTTGATCTGTGCAAGTGTATTACTTAATCAAAAAATTTAAGTTTAATCCTCACCTTATACATCAGAATAAATTCATGGAATTAAAGGCAAATATAAAAAATAAATAATGAGAAAATCATAGAAAAATTTAAGTGAATATTTACTCTGCGATCAGGAAGATTTTCTAACCATAAATGTGAAATACAGTATTTTCATATGATGGAGTATTATATAACTATTATAATAATATCTTTGAAGAATTTTTAATGCCCTCAGGAAATTATAATGATTTACTGTCACTTGAAATATGGGAACCAAAGCTGGTTGGTTTGTAAAATAATCTCTAAAAAGCTAGAAGGAAATTTAATTTGAATGTAAACAAGTTATCTCTGGGTGGTAAATTTACATGTCTTTTTTTTAAATTTTTTTTTTTTTTGCTTTTCTGTATTTACTAGCTGTAATCAGAGAAAGAAATGAAAAAAAGTAAATAAAATACAAACCTTTGCCAGACATGCAGGATGTTAGTTTCCATATTGCATATTGTAAGTGGTGGAATTATGGCAATGTCTGTTATGAATTGTAATTATATAAAATGTATTATAAAGCAGTCCTTTAGTAAAAGCTATAATTTTTCTATTTTCTAATGTTTTTCCTGTAGCTGGGTAATTAATTAAAATGATTTCTTATTTTGTAAGATGATGAGAAAGTATTTAAAAATTGTTTACCATGAAGTTGAATTATTCAGGAGCTTTTTTTAATAGATTTTTAGAGTACCCTATAATCTTTCAGAAATGAATTCATTCTGCCTCTGAGCAATTATTTCTTAATTATGGAATCTTTTTTTCTCCCTTTTACTTCAATGTGATTCTGGCATTTTTTAAATTGTAGGACATTAGACATTATTTTAGAAGTTGGTTGGTTCATTTATCTTTCTTTTTGACAGAGTATTAAGATACCGTTTTAAGACAGACACTGTGCCAAATGTTTACTTTCTTGGTTTCGTTTTGTTTTGTTTTTTAATAAAAACCTCTCTGTTTAAAAATGGTCATTTTGTTCTCTTTTGATAATAGATATTGGTACCTGTGCCATCACTGCTATTCCTTTTGAGAAGTCCAAAGTTTTATTTACTCTGGAAGAGTTGGATGAGTTTACTTTTGTGGATGAAACTGATCAGCAAGCTGTTCCAGATGTAACTCGAATAGGTCCCAGCCAAGAAAAATGGGGTTGGATAATGTTTGAATGTGGACTTGAAAATTTAACCATAAAAGGTAAGCATTTTGTTTTCATTTCTGCTTAAGTGAGGTACAAATTGGCCCCACATTGCTGAAATGTTTTGAACAATTGTGACTTTTAATAACCTGATGAATCAGCATATTTAAGCAGAAAGTTGGGACCTGGGATTTTTTACCAGGGTGGGTGCCCCATCCCAATTGTGTAAGTGGGACTTCCCCTGCAATGTGTGATTCAAAACTAACAGAGCATGTAGAAATACAAAAAAAATCATTGTTTGAACAAAAAAATCTGTGGTTCAGAAAAAAAATTTTGAATAAAATGTAGAGCCACCCAGCTTTTGAAAGTTTGGTCTTTGGAAACTGGATTTTTGATTAGTAGAGCCTTGCAGGATGAAAATACTATAAATCCTTTATTCAGTGACAGACTGACTTTTAGTTATATAACTTACAGTTATATACAGTTTTCTTTTACATTATTGAGTAATATATATAAAAAAGGAAGGCTGAGTTATATATAAGACTTCTACGTTAGTCATATATATATATAATAGTAATCGAGTATGCCTGTAGTTCTTTACCTGACAATCCAGTCTTACATGACTTTTACAGTTAAGGGCAAAGTTTTGATGAGAAAAAAATATCTTTATGAATTTTTATTTTTATTTTTTTGTCTTTATGGGTACTGTACAGTGTTGAGATATACCCACTGTTTTTAATAAGTATATTCTTTCATTCTTATAGGAGGAAGACAGTCTGGTGCTGTTTTATATAATACTTTTGGAATTATGGGTAAAGCTAGTGTCACAGAAAGAGGTGGAGTGCTGACATCCAATAATTCTTCTGATTCTCCAACTGGCAGTGGCTATAATACTGATGTCTCTGATGATAATCTTCCCTGTGATCGAATGAGCCCTTCTTCAGACTTAAATGGAAATTCTGTTTCAGATGAACAAGTTGGTGAATTTTTAATAATAATAGTGCTTTGAAAAAATAACAAAACTACATACCCATTTCAAAATTAATTTCTGGAGTATATTTGCTTCTTTCAATATTTGGAATTTTGCTTAAATTGTAGTCAAGATATTTTGGTGATTATACTACTACTAGAATATAATTTCTGAAGCATAGGTACCATACCATAGATATATTTATATCTATCATAGTACCTTGTTTAATGCCTTGCTTATATTGGGCACTTAATAATATTTGTTGAATTAATGAATAAATAGAATTTCAGAAAAGTAGGCATTGTTTTGATGTTATTTCAAGGATTTTAGCAGAGTTCATGGAAATACTTAGTTTTGTCACTGGTAGTATTTCATGTAAGTTCTAAATATTTTTGTCAATATCCACCCATTTCAGCTAGAGTCCTGAAGAATACCTTATATGCAACTCATTTATTATTTTTATTATGGTAGACTGTCACAATGATTAATAATAGCAATAATAAAAATATTAAAAATTTTAGGTTACGGAAGAGTTATACCACTAACTGATGGGTGCAAGTTTTTTCCTTTTCGAAGCTTCTTCGTCTATAATAGTATTGTAAGGATACTGACCTCCTAGACTTGTGAAGACTGAAGGAGATAATACATATAAAAGGCTTAACTCAGTGTCTAGCACATAGTAAGAACTTGGTAAATGTTGTTTTTAAACACATATGTACATATACTTCTGATCATTTGGAGATTAGACCAATTGAAGAGAAAAGAAACCACCTTTTAATTAAGAAATGTCATGGATACGGGGGCCTGGGTGGCTCGGTAGGTTAAGCGGCTGCCTTCAGCTCAGGTCATGATCCCAGGGTCCTGGGATTGACCCCCACGTTGGGCTCCCTGCTCAGCGGAGAGAGACCCTGCTTCTCCCTCTCCCTCTGCCTGCCTCTCTGCCTACTTGTGCTGTCTCTATATAGCTCTGTCAAATAAGTAAGTAAGTAAGTAAATAAATAAATAAATAAAATTTTTTTTTTTTTTAAAAAAAGAAATGTCCCATTCATTGGCATAATCACCTCTGAACCCCAGGTTTCTGGTAATTTATTTTTTGAACTATTTATTTTGATTTGATGCATAGTTCAAGAGTTTAATCACAGTTTTCTTGTGAGGTCTTTGGATGTATTTGAGTGGTGGTTGGGGATTAGCACTTTAATTAAGGAAATTAAAAAATATAATAGCTACTCACTGGACAAAAGAGCTGGGAAGAGCCCAGCTGTTCTTTCTTTGTCCTCTATCCCACTGAAACACTTGATAGAAGCTCAGATATCTGGGTACCCAGTCTGCTCAGTCATTAAGCGTCTGCCTTCAGCTCAGGTCATGGTACCAGGGTCCTAGGATCGAGCCCTGCATCGGGATCCCTGTTCCGCTGGAAGCCTGCTTCTCCCTCTCCTACTCCCCCTGCTTGTGTTCCCTCTCTCACTGTGTCTCTCTCTGTCAAATAAATAAATAAAATCTTCAAAAAAAAAAAAAAGCTCAGATGTCTTCCTTGGTACCTCTGATCCTTGTCTCTTTGCTGAATGTCCCTAAATTTTGTAACATTGCTTTCTTTGGGTTCTGTAACTTTTCCTGGTCCATATCCTCATTCAGTTCTTTGTCCTTAAGTGTGGGTGTTCTTCCCATGTTCTGTTCTTGGCTACTTTTCTTTTTTTTTTTTTGCTGTATGTCCACTCCCTGATTTATTTCATTTTCTAGTCCTGCTCCATAATTTGATGACACTAACTCTTTCCCATCGGTTATGCTTTTAGCACCAACCTTTCAGTTGAGCTCCAGAATTGTATGCAGTGGCCTTTTAGTATCATCATTTACACATGCCATAGGTACCAAAAATTTAGTCAACCTAAATCCAACTTTATTATTGCTTTGCTTCACATACTATTATAATTAGTTGCTTATTATCTGTAAGCCTCCTTCCCTTTTTAAAATTTTGAGTTCTTGAAGACTGTCTTCTCTATCTTTTGTATACCTTAGTGCCTAGCTCACAGCCTTGTCTGAAACCCACAGGTCAGATGTATTTGAGAATTCAGATTTTTTTTTCCTTTAACAGAAAGGTAATATGGTGTGTGTTTTATATGTTACATAAACTCCTAGTGGAATCTGAGACAGCATTCCATCTTGAAATATTTAAATACTTTTACAGCACAACATTCATAAAAATTCCAAGTGGGATAAATAGCCTCTCATCAAATTCAGATCAGGTTTTGATGCCATATTTACACAAAAATATTTAGATTTCTCAGAACGTTACGAGTTTTAGAGCTGCAGATTAGGAATGTGGACTTATATATCTAGCATTTCTAACTTTAAAATTACTATTGCCTATAGTTACATTGTTTTGTAGCACTTAGGATTCAAAGCTATTTTGTGGATATTCTTCATTCCTTAATTATACCACAAGAAAATGCCAGTCTTCTTCATCTTGACCAGTAATAACTAAAAGTGAATTAGAGAGCTGTGAGGAGACATAACAGGCAGTAGACTTTTTTGTTTGTTTCTTTAATATTATGCTTACCTCCCTGCATTCTAAAGAGTGGTGATTATACATTTAAAAAAATTATTATTTCTTAACATTGATTCAGATTGCTAGCATATAAGATAACTAAGAATTTTTTTATTGTAGAGTGTTATTTATTTGAACATGGACTACACTAGTATTATTATGGCACTTGTTTTTAGAAATTTGAAATATGTTGTTAAAATGGAATGGAAAACAAAACAAAAAAATGGAATGGAAAACATTGTAGTAGGAAGCAGAAGACTTTGATTCTCTCACTCATTCTCCTTAATAGTTGTATGACCTTCGACAAGTCACAAACCTCTTTCTCTCACTTTTTTCATCTGGAAAAAATAACACTTAAACATCCCTAAACAAATGTAATTGAATGAAGTGATCAGGAGAAACATTCAGTTCTAAGATCAGTGATTTATGGCTTACTACAATGTAGTGGTTTTTCAGACTATGCTCCTTAGAGCTTCAAGGATCTATAGGTATTTCTCAGAATTAGGGTTAGGCTGAGCAAGGTTTATGTTACCTGTTTTATATAAAGGTGTCATGTGTAGAACTTGATTTGATGGGAAGGTTTTGTGCTTAAAACATTTACCTTGGCACTAATGGTTTTAAGCAGCTATACATTATAAGTTTTTGGTTTTTGATTTTATGTAGGATGAAGGAGTTGAATCTGATGATTTGAAAAAAGATTTACCTCTGATGCCTCCACCTCCAGATTCATGTAGCATGAAGTTGACCATCAAGGAAATTTGGTTTAGTTTTGCAGCTCCCACTAATGTGAGATCTCCTACACATGCATTTTCTAGGTAAAAAGTTTTAAACATGTAGTACTATTCCTTGATTTTTCTTCATTTTAAATAACATACAACTCTTTCAGTTATTTTTTTAAATTATTTTTCTGGTCTATCTAGCATTAGGGTTGCCACCTTCTTACCATCTTTCCTACTTTATGCTTTCTGTAGACATTATTCTTACCTTGTTTGACCCTTTTTCTTTCCTAAGGCTTTAGTTTTACTATTATATGTCATGCCACCATGAACTTCTTAACTCTCACCTCTAATAGGTTTTAATATGTTTTCTTCATTTCTATTATCTATTCTTCACATTTTCTACTTATATGTTCATAATTTATCTGGTAGCCAAAATGAAAAGTAATTTTGCCTAAGTAAAATAGCCACTAAGTACAGTAGGTATGGGAGATTGTTTGAAATACAAATCTTGACAGTTGTTCTTATAATTTCTTTTTTTTAAATTTTCAAAGGCAGCTGAACCTTTTAAGCACTGCAACTCCAGCTGTTGGTGCATGGCTTGTTCCCATTGATCAACTCAAATCATCCTTAAACAAATTAGAAACTGAGGGCACCTTGAGAATTTGTGCTGTTATGGGATGTATAATGACAGAAGCATTAGAGGTATGTCTATCAACAATACAAGGTATCTTATTATTGAACATGATCTCTAATTGTTCATCATTGTTGGAAAACATCAGACCTGCAAGTTCTTGATTACTGGATATCTTCTACTTGCAGTGTCTTTGATACATCACTCTAAATCTGTTGTTTTTGCTTTGTTTCAGAATAAAAGTGTACATTTTCCCTTAAGAAGTAAATACAACAGACTTACAAAAGTTGCCCGTTTTCTCCAAGAAAATCCTTCATGTTTACTGTGCAATATACTACATCACTACCTGCACCAGGCAAATTACTCCATCATTGATGATGCTACAATGGTGAGTTACTGAAACCATATGTTAGCTTTAAAGAAGCCTCTATTCTTGGGGTGCCGGGGTCGCTCAGTCAATTAAGCATCCGACTCTTGGTTTCGGCTCAGGTCATGATCTCAGGGTTGTGAGATCAAGCCCTGTTTTGGGCTCCATGCGGAGTCTGCTTGGGATATTTTCATCCCCCCTCTCACTGTTCCTCTCCCTGCTCATGTTCCCAATCTCTCTCTCTCTTTCTAAAATAAATAAATAAATCTTTAAAAAAAAAAAAAAAAAAAGGAAGCCTCTGTCCTTTTGAGGACTCATTCATTGGCCTACAGGGTTTGAGATGCAGATGGGAAGTCCAAAGGAGAAATATGGTTAAAAATACAGGCTTATAGACAACAATGGGCTCAGATAAGTGATTTGGGAATTGCCAACATGAAGGTGTTGGAAGCTGTGGATATGGATGAGACTTCTAGGAATGATGGTATGTTGAGGGAGAAACTGGTCAAGAATGGATATCTGAAGAACACCAAAATTAAAGGGGAAGGGGGTGAAGAGAAGGTGAATAAAGCTATACAGAATGCAGAGGAGGGAAAGGAAGAGGTAGGAGAATTAGGAAAAAATGTCTTAGTTAAAATGTTAAAATAGTGGTAGTTACTTAATCTTTGAAGGGAGTAATTTCATTTCCTCTTTGTTTAATGACTATTCCAGGTAGCTCAAAATACATTTGATTTCCTCAATAGAACAAAAAAGGTAAAGTGGATTGAATGCTTCTTAAGGAGAATCCCAATCTTGCACCCCATGTTTAGCCTCTTATTCACCTGGTACTGCATTGTTTGTGACAGAAAGATGCAATGTTGTGTTTAGAGATTGAGTTCTGTTGTCAGCTTGAAATACTCTTTTGTGACCTTGGACAAATTATAACACATAATTCTAGTTTCTTCATCTCTAAATGGGGGTTATGAGATTTAAATGAATAAATGTATGCAAAGCATTTAAATGGTAACATTATTACATCATTGTTGTTACAGAGTGATGGACTTCCTGCTTTGGTAACATTAAAGAAAGGTTTAGTTGCATTGGCAAGGCAGTGGATGAAGTTTATTGTGGTGACACCAGCCTTTAAAGGAGTTAGCTTACACAGACCAGCTCAGCCGCTGAAACCTCAATCAGCTGTGGACCATGAACATGAAGACGGACTTGGGCTAGACAATGGAGGTGGTCTTCAAAGTGACACCAGTGCTGATGGAGCAGAATTTGAATTTGATGCAGGTAATTTGTAAATATTTTAGTCAAATATAGCCAGATATTGGTAACATATATATGTGATAATGTGATATGAATATGTGATAATTTTAATCATTTGTGTCCAAAACTTGAAACCGTTATGGCTTAGTTATACAAGTATGATTTGTATTAGTCCAAATAAATGATAATAATGTTGTAATCTTTATACTGACTTTTGGTTTTTACATTTAATTTCATGAAATACGATAGACTTCTAATCTATCGCATACGATAACAGACATCTTTGCATAGCTAGAATATTTGAATGAAGCATGTTAACTTCCTTTTAAAATTCACATTTGAAAAAAATAAAATTCATATTCATATTTGTTCATCATCTTTCCTATGCCACTTAAAAGGAGTCTTTGAATTTTATCTGGTGCCTGGTTGATTTTGCATTTATGTAATGTTTAGAGTCGTGCATTCAGCATACAATTCTGTCAGCAACATGACTGTGCCAGAACACAGACAGTAGATATGCATTTCAGAAATATATGTGCACATTTTAATGCTTTTTCTGGGTAAACTTTTGTTATCACAACATGTAATATTCAATAATATTGAATTATGGTATTTTGGAAAAAAATGTTAAAAGTACCATGAAAAAGGACGGTAGCCTTAAAATTAGAGCTTTCAGAACATTGATATATAATACTTTACCCAGCTTTTTTTATTGTCTTTTAAAAAAAAAGTTTATACTTAAAAGTGAATATGCTATGAGGAAGGGTGCCTGGGTAGTTCAGTTGGTTAAGCATCCAACTCGATTTCGGCTCAGGTCCTGATCCCAGGGTTGTAATACCAAGCCCCATGTTGGCTCCCTTCTAATTAACTGCAAATTCTTGGGTTAAACTGAAAATTCTGTACTTTGAGCTAGTTGGTTTTTTTCTCTGTAAACCCTTTGGCTGGGTTGTGGAGGGACTGAATACAAGCTATTTGTTCCTTTCTTGAGACTGAGTGAGAAGATTGGGGTTGGGAGAGTAAAAGAAACACAAAAAATAATATTATAGCAGATTCCACAATTAATTTCAAGGAAATTTAATTAATTTAATTTGTTTACTCAAGGAATATGTAAAGTTGAGTGGTAGTTACACCACCAGGAACACTGGTATTGATGTTTCAAGAAAATGATAATCTATAGCCCACTTACTCTTTTGAACTGTTTCAGCCACAGTCAGTGAACACACAATGCTACTAGAAGGAACAGCCAACCGTCCTCCACCTGGTAGCTCTGGACCTGTAACTGGAGCTGAGATAATGAGGAAACTTTCTAAGACTCATACCCACAGTGACTCTGCATTAAAGATAAAGGTACATTACTGCTGTTTCTGGTTAGAGTAGACTTCCAGAGAAGACCTATATTTCTGATATCTCAAATTCAAACATTAGGTGTTTAAATTTAAATATTCAAATAGTATTTTATATTCAAGAATTAATAATTTAATAATTGAGTTGACATGAACATGATTAGCAACATAAACAGTTTGAGTTAGGCTATTTTATGATTTTAATTACATTGTTTTAAGAAATTTAACCAGGGCGCCTGGGTGGCTCAGTTGGTTAAGCGACTGCCTTCGGCTCAGGTCATGATCCTGGAGTCCCTGGATCGAGTCCCGCATCGGGCTCCCCGCTCGGCGGGGAGCCTGCTTCTCCCTCTGACCCTGCCCCCTCTCATGTGCTCTCTCTCTCTCATTCTCTCTGTCTCAAATAAATAAATAAAATCTTTAAAAAAAGAAATTTAACCAGTGCTTGGTAAGACATGTATATAGCAGGGTGGTTGAATACTACCTTGGGAGCCAGACAGCCTTGGTTTCAATTCTGCCTCTGCCACTTAGTTGTTTTGTGACTGAACAAATTTTTAACTGTACCGTGTGTCAGTTTCCTTATCTGTAAGATTGAGATTACAATAGTAACTTTTCCCAGAATATGGATGTTAAGAAATAACTGTTAATACATGAAAAATGCTTAGAACAATACCCACACGTAATAAGCATGTAAGTTATTTGTTGTTGTCGTGGGTTATTCATGTTTTGTTAGTTTCATTTTCTGAGCAATGAAAATGACAGGCAATTAGTATTTTAACTTTCTTTGAAAGTTTGGGTATAGACTTACATTAATACTCAGAATCCGGGCGCCTGGGTGGCTCAGTTGGTTAAGCGACTGCCTTCGGCTCAGGTCATGATCCTGGAGTCCCAGGATCGAGTCCCACATCAGGCTCCCTGCTCAGCAGGGAGTCTGCTTCTCTCTCTGACCCTCCTCCCTCTCATGCTCTCTGTCTCTCATTCTCTCTCTCTCAAATAAATAAATAAAATCTTAAAAAAAAAAAAAAATACTCAGAATCCATAAGGTAAATGACTGATAATTTTACCATATTAAAATATAAGATTTCTACACAGAAAAAATAATGTATTATAAACAAAATAGAAAGACATATGACAAAGGGCTAATTTCCTCATATATAAGGATCTTTTTTCTAATCACTAAGAAAAAGAACACAATCAAATAGAGAATCGGTTAATGGGCAGTTCACAGAGAAATACACACACAAATATGAAAATGTATCCTCTTATAATTAAAGAAATGTAAGTTAAAATGAGATTTCATGGAGCACTGGGTGTTATACGAAAACAATGAATCATGGATCACTGCCTTAAAAACTAATGATATATTGTATGGTGACTAACATAACATAATAAATAAAATTTTTAAAAAATCAGCTTCATTTAAAAAAATGAGATTTCCATTTTCACAAATCAGATTGAAAACACTAACATTTGAATGGTGTATGTTGGTGAAGGTAAGGAAAAACAGACTCTCTCCTACAGAACTGGTGGGAGTGAAAATTGGCACAAACTCTTTGAAGACCAATTTGGCAATTTGTATCAAAATTTAAAATGTAATATTCTTTCACCCAGTATGTTCATGTCCCGGAATTCATTCTAAAGAAATGAATGCTCATAAATGCTAAGAGACAACACTATTTGTAATAGGAAAATAATGGAAGCAACATAAATGACTATTTGAGGACTAGTAAACTAGTGTACCCTGTTACAGAGATGCATACCATAAAAACTTCAGAAAAATGTAGATCTCTAAGTGGATATGGAATGGTTACCAAAGTGCCTGGATTAAAGTAAAAACAAAATATAAAACAATATGTATCTGTGTGTTAAAAAAAGACAAATATGTACATGTGCTTATATAGTTATAAATTATTTAAGGAGAAGAGATAAGAAAAGTAAAGAGTACTTCTAGGGGAAGGGATCTAGTAGACGAGCTCAGGGGATACGATTTATTGAATTGTCTTTGTGCTTTTAAAGTTTTTATTCTGTATTGCTCTTAATTAAAACATTCAAAGATAGTTTAATATACATTTTTTAAAAGTTTGAACTATTAGGCTTGTTCTACTTCTATAGTATAGTTTGAAGCCAGGGTACTTTTAAATTCTCACATCCTTAATCAGTCTCAGATTTTTTTCCCGTTCAATGGTTTTTCCTATCCCTACCAACATTCCTTTGTTTATGAATTATAAAAGTCCTCCAAAAAATTGAATTGTACCACTTTGTTTCAGATCTCTTCTTTTCAGGATCTTTCTGTCTGTATAGTCTTTTCTTATACTATTTTAAACTGATCTGAAATTCTAAGCTTAGATGTGACAGAACAGATAGAGGTGGGCAATTCTGTAATTTTTTAATTTTCCTCAGAGAATTGCTGGAAATTGTTTTTGGCATATTAGAACTCTACAGAGAAGCTCTTATAGATTTTCATTATCAGGGTACCAACAAGAGTAGTATAGTATTAAGAATACTGAGATTGAAATCTTGCCACCAGACACACTCTTCAGATTTCAAAGGGAATTAATAATTCATTATTAAAATAAGTGAATGATAAAGGCTGTCCTTGGTATTGTACTGTAAAGTTTTAAAACATTTTTGTGTACATTTGGGATTCACCACAATCCTAGTAGGCACAATCTGTTTTGGTATTAATGTGAATAGTAATTAACAGTAATAGCAACAGTACTAGTAGTGTTAGTTATTAGGAGTCATTTTTTTATGCATGAGAAAGAGCCCTGTGTTGTTCCTTTTGTAGGGTATTCACCCATATCATTCTTTGAGCTATACCAGTGGAGACACTGCCACCGATTCTCCGGTGCATGTTGGACGTGCTGGGATGCCAGTTAAGGAGAGTCCAAGGAAGGAGAGCCTACTCAGCTACCTGACTGGAAGCTTCCCAAGCTTGCACAACCTCCTAGAAGGGACTCCTCAGAGAAGTAGTGCAGCTATAAAAAGCAGCTCCCTAACGAGAACGGGTACTTCCTTGGTTTTGACAATTATAAGTTTACTTCTATGTGAGAATTAAAAAACAAACAAACAAATAGGACTTAAGTTTATTTTGCTTTATACTTCGGTTGCATAACTAATCTATGTATTACACCTTATCTTTGAAAAAGTAGTTTGGGAAACTGTTCTGTTTGTAACTTGTTGGTATCTTCATGCCCTTAGTTTGCATTTCTAAATTGCAGCATTTGATATTACTACCAGCCTAGTCATGGTATGAGATGATGTCTAAGCCATCCAACAGTGAATTTCTTCTTGTTATATTAAAAAGAAGTTGTTTATTAGTGCCTTAATATCCAAATACCAGCATCATGCAGTGATTTTGAAAACATCTGCAAAAGACAGTTTGGTCTGACTTTTAAAAAATAATTACATCACATTTTCTGCTTATTACATAAGTAATACTATACTCAATAAAATTTTATTTTCAGGAAATACAATGGCCACTGATATGTTATCTGAACATCCCTTGCTATCTGAGCCATCATCTGTGAGTTTCTATAATTGGATGTCAAATGCTGTGGGTAATCGTGGAAGTGTGGTACAAGAATCTCCTGTTACAAAATCCGCACACAATAGTCTTCCATCAGGTATTGAGTTATCATGTTATTTTGCTTAACTGTCTAAGGGACATATGTAAATTTTAACAAAATTCTGTTTTTCACAGAATGGTCAAAATATCAAATGTTTAATACTGTTTAGTTGAAATTTGCCCATTTATGAAATGCCTTTGTTAATACTGAATTGAGAGAATTGTAAGCAGTCACTTAGTATTCCTGTGAAAAGACAAATAGGTCATATGTGAGATCTTATGTAATTTAGAGTTTAAAATGTCCAATTAATGTGGCCAGTTTAATTTTCAAAATACCAAAAGGAGGTAAATGGAAAAATGCAAAGAATATGGCATATTGCACCTATAATACAGAAAATATTTTAGTTTATTCAGATTCCTCTGAGAAATAATAATAGCATTCTTTTACTCTTATAGTTACTTAAATAATTAAACCTAAAGGTATACTAAGAGGAATAAAATAAGATTTTGCCTTTGAGGAAGAAATGAGGGCAACTTATTAATTTTAAAAGAACACGTATAAAGAGCAAGAACACTGGCAGGAAATTCACCAAGAAATGTTGGTGGCTATCTCCAGAAACATAAGTGGTGCCACCCTTCATTTTCTATTTTTTTCTTTTTGGGATATTTTTCCAAATTTAGTAGATACATGTATTCTTGTAAAAAAAAAATTTTTTTTAAAAACATGTGAAGTAGACTTTGATCCTAGGTCCTGAAGGCAGCTGAAATTAATCCATGTAACAGCTATTTGCATTGCTAGCAAATTCTGTTCGTATAGAAAATATGATATGAAATATGGCTGATAAGTGACTACTCACTCAGTCCTTTGTTTTGCTGGTATGTGGATCACTCTTGAATCTGAAACTGATCCTAGTTATGACTGCATTCCAATTCTTAGCATTGGTTCTTCTTTGAAGAAGAGAAGAGGACACTGTTTCCGCCAGCTCTCAGCACTGTTCTTGCACTAGTCTCACTACTGCACAGTTTAAATTTTGGGAAAATCAGAGAAGAACATTTCCTCTTTCTCATGGTCCTTTGCCTGGGGGTTAGAGGATAAAGGGAATACAGAGGAAAGAAATAGCGCCATTTTATTTTTGTTCTGCCTCGGGAAAGCATAATTGGGAAGAAATTTACATGTGGGACTCTGTGACATCTGTGGCTTTTGCCCTGCTGCTGTCTGTAACTCTGCTCCTCAGTGCAAAGCTGAGGGGATATCAAATGCTTTTCAAAGATCTTCCGGCCATAAATTTCTGTATTTTGGACTGACTGGCTCTAATACAGACTTCATGTATGAGAATGACTGATACTTTCTGAAGTTTTAGTTTAATTTCATTTTTATTATTAAATCGTCTGTAAAATGACCAAAAAGTGCTGTGTGTGTTTGTTTTTTTTACCTTCATTCAGTTTAAATGGTCTGGTAATACTGCTGTAATACGGGCTTCATAAGTTTACTTTGCTGTGCCCTTTTATGTTGTTTTTATTTCCTTATAATTCAGATTTTACTCTTGAACATTTACTCTGTTAGGTGTTGCACCCAATCTTCCTACAATACCCTCAGCCTCAGATTTCAACACCGTCTTATCTAGTGACCAGAATACTTTGGATGGAACACATTCTCAGCATAGCACTAGTCAGGATGATGTGGCAGGTGTAGAAGAAGCCAACCAAGGGTTTCCTGCTGTGCAGCTTGCTGATGCACAGGTGAGCCAGTCTGTTTTTCCGTAATTATAGTAACCCCTCATTAGGTAATTCTTAGCAGCTGGAACCATCCAGTCATATGCACCTTGGAATTCTAGTGAAAATCTTTTTTGTGTGCTTGTCTGTCTAAAGTCTTCATGCAAAAATGGAAGAGCCTTTTAAAAGTACCTGGGTTAGTTACAAATGCTAATTTAGCATCTATAGGTATGCATTAAACAGAAGAGTGGTATATAATTAGTTGTCTCATATAATAGCATTTTTGTTATGTGGAGATATAGATTGGCTAAATAACATAACTAGAAATTAGAAGACTGTGTTAAGTACTATGTTAAGACTTTACTGAGTGAGCAGTTGGGAAGCCCTGAAGACTTTAGAGCAGAGGAATTAAGTGACTAGAACTGTACATGTAGAAATATTATATGGGTAGCAATGTGTTAAATGGATTGAAGTAGAGACACTATAGGTGAAAAGATGAGTTACTGAAGTAGTTCACGTAAGTGGTAAATGAGGCTTTTAACTTAGGTGGTTGTGGCTTTGATAAGGTAAAGGCAAAATAATGTGAAGGTTTTATTCAATTGATCAAATATAAGAGTGGAGAGCAAAATCCTTTGAAATGTATATTTTAGTCCGAATGATCACAAGGCAAGTGGGTGGGTGGGACCATGGATATTAAGAGGTGTTATTTTTTCAGGATGAGAGAGACTCCAGCATAGTTACATACTGAGGAGGAATTAGGAAGGTCCTGATCAGAAAAAGAAAAAAAGAGGGTAAACTGATAGAGTAAGATTCAGAGAGGGATGAGGACTGTTGGAATTTAGAGTCACTCATAGAGAGAGATGTTTTAGACATAAAAAATTACTTTTTTCCTCTGAGAAACTAAGAAGGCAATAAGGATAGTTCACAATTATACAGGTTAAGTTTGCAAATTGGTAGCTTCAATTTTCTCTTAATGTAGAAAGTAATTTATGTTAAGAAATGTGTCAGGCACTTTTAAATTTTCTTGAGATTTACTTCTCCAATGTACTGGAGTAGTTTTTAGGGACTTCATTTTTTTGTTAAAGGAGAGTGGGAAAATAAATAACCTTTTTGTTGTTGTTTTGGCCTATAGAATATATTAATTGTATTTATTAGCATTCTATACATATTTTAGAAATAATTATATTGTTTTACATGTAAGATTCTAAAATCCACCAGAAACATGAATATTAAATAATACAGTAAAAAACTCTGTAAGGTGATTTAGATATGTGTACAGGTTGGCGTGAATATGAAAGAGAGCTTACCACAGACTCCCTAAAAGGATTGCCAAATAGTGCTGAGGGCCTAGTTAAGAGTTTAGGTTAGTGTTGGGGTACCAATGAATGCAGTTATATCATTTCCTTTCATTGTTCCTAGCAGCTCAGCTATAGGAATATAAGAGGATTGATCCAAAGCAGATGTAGCAAGAAAAATGAGGTGATAGATATAAACAGTCTAGGAAGTTGCTGAAATGGAGTTTAAGCCAAGATTATGGGAGGAAAAAGAAGTCACATAACTTTGGAACTGAAGTGTTGGTTGAGTTATCTGCATGGTCAAAGAAGTCATTCAGAAGTCATTCAGGATGGTAAATTGGGATTGAAAAGAAAAAGAGGAAAGTAAGTCAGGAATCAAAGTTTAGTTAGGAGGATTAACAAGGTGGGGGATAAATAAATGACAAACATTAGAAAAGATGGAGGATGGTTTGAACCTTGAAGAGGGAAGAATTTTTCCTTTAGAATAAAAGAGTAAAATCCAAAAAAGAATATCCCAAGCAAGTATATAAAGGAGAGGGAATTTCTCCCTAAGGTTCCAATCTAGTGTACAATTGTTGGAATTCTCTGTTCTAGGCCATTAGACCTTCACAAGAGTAGCCTGTCTTCCTAAGCACAAACAAATGAGATGATCTAGAGATAATTGAACATGTAGACTTAGGTCTTAATACATAAATGGCACTTGTCCATTTTAATAGTATCATTTAACTTTCAGGTAAAGATTACTAAGGGAGATGTACAGGGAAAGGGTTACAAGAGGGCCATGGAAAGTACTGGATAACACCTATATTTTGGATATGGAAGGAGGAAAAGGAACCATGCAGCAAAGAATAAGCAGAGTGGTTATAGTGATCAACTATTGAACACATGTAGTTGCTTCTGTTTGGGTTAGCTCTTCATGACTACAAAATCAGTTAACAAGAGATTTAACCAGAATGATCTATTTCCATAAGCTTGTATGATACTTTAAAGGAACTTTTTTTTTTTTTTAAGAAAATAAATGTTAAATGACTGTAACAACCAAATGATACCATTTAAAAAGAGGTCAGATGTTCATAATATTACATATGAAATGTTTTTATATTAACATAGGAAGTTGATAAACTATTCTAATATACCAGATTTTTATGGAAACATAGTATATATTCATGCCTTTTTAAAGAGCAAGAAGTAGAATGATTTAAATTAGTTCACAATTTTATTTTCCTTGTCCTTTCAGACACTCAGGCAAGATAGAGAAATCTTTGTCCTTGTGATTAATTTGAAGATGAGTGGCATATAATATGTGCTGAAAAGTACTGTTAAGTTTTTTTTATTATGTTATGTTAATCACCATACATTACATCATTAGTTTTTGATGTAGTGTTCCATGATTCATTGTTTGCGTATAACACCCAGTGCTCCATGCAGTATGTGCCCTCTTTAATACCCATCGCCAGGCTAACCCATCCCCCCATCCCCCTCCCCTCTAGAACCCTCAGTTTGTTTCTCAGAGTCCATAGTCTCTCATGGTTTGTCTCCCCCTCCGATTCCCCCCCTTCATTTTTCCCTTCCTACTATCTTCTTTTTTTTTAAACATATAATGTATTATTTGTTTCAAAGGTACAGGTCTGTGATTCAACAGTCTTACACAATTCACAGCGCTCACCATAGCACATACCCTCCCCAATGTCTATCACCCAGCCACCCCATCCCTCCCACCCCCTACCACTCCAGCAACCCTCAGTTTGTTTCCTGACATTAAGAATTCCTCATATCAGTGAGATCATATGATACATGTCTTTCTCTGATTGACTTATTTCGCTGAGCATAATACCCTCCAGTTCCATCCATGTCGTTGCAAATGGCAAGATTTCGTTCCTTTTGATGGCTGCATAATGTTCTATATGTATATATACCACACCTTCTTTATCCATTCATCTGTCAATGGGCATCTTGGCTCTTTCCATGGTTTGGCTATTGTGGACATTGCTGCTATAAACGTCAGGGTGCACGTACCCCTTCAGATCACTACATTTGTATCTTTGGGGTAAATACCCAATAGTGCAATTGCTGGGTCATAGGGCAGCTCTATTTTCAACTTTTTGAGGAACCTCCATACTGTTTTCCAGAGTGGCTGCACCAGCTTGCATTCCCACCAACAGTGTAGGAGGGTTCCCCTTTCTCCACATCCCCGCCAACATCTGTCGTTTCCTGACTTGTTAATTTTAGCCATTCTGACTGGTGTGAGAGGTGATATCTCATTGAGGTTTTGATTTGGATTTCCCTGATGCCGAGCGATGTTGAGCACTTTTTCATGTGTCTATTGGCCATTTGGATGTCATCCTTGGAAAATGTCTGTTCATGTCTTCTGCCCATTTCTTGATTGGATCATTTGTTCTTTGGGTGTTGAGTTTGATAAGTTCTTTATAGATTTTGGATACTAGCCCTTTATCTGATATGTCATTTGCAAATATCTTCTTCTAAGTTTTAAGTAAAATTATATTTATTACACAAGTCCTTTTCTTTAATTTTTTTTTTTTGTCACACTACAGTATTGACATATGTATTGAGGTAGGGTAAGAAAAAAGCCACAGTAAATGATGAATTATAAGTTAAGCTAATTAATGAACATGTTCTGTCTTTTAGGTTGTTTTCAGACCTCTTCTCAGTCATACAGGGATTCAGTCACAGGATGCAATGCCACTCTGCTACCGAATGTACTTTGGAGAACACCTTTCATTTTCAGGGACTTTGGACTGCCTTAGAGCAGATATTGTGGATTCGGACACAGCCAAAGAGAGAAAAGGCAAAAGAGCAAGAAGGTGTCTTGTGTTATTGTTCTTTTTGTGTAAAATGTTGTACACAGGTTATAGTATCTTTTTTTAACTTTGTTTTCCTCTAATGCTAGTGAAAGTAATTTTAATATCTTAATGAGAAGGTAACTTCCATTTATCAAAAATAACCTCATTTTAATAACCTGTGGATTTTCTAGGTGATGAGGTCTATGCTGAGACTTCGTTTTGTGCCATGTTAGCATGTGTATGTGGGTCAGCCAAAGTACATTTGTTGTGTATATCCTCAGAATTTATTTAGTTTCTGTAGCTGAATTTTTATTATCTTATGCATTGTAATTTTATATATTTTACTTAGAATTATTCCTAACTGCCTTTCTGAGTCGACTTGCATTATTTCCTATTAGAAACAGGGTAGAAGTCATATTGAGAGTATGGCCATGAGAAACAAATACACAGGAATGCTAAATGTAGCATGGTGAAAGTTAAGAACCATCTTTTACTGTCATTATTATCAGGGATAGTTCTTTAGTTTCTTTATTGCTTGAATAGGAAATATTATGCCCACTAATAATATTTGATTAATCCTTTTGTGAACATTAAATTTTACTCTGCATGGGTCTTGCTGATGTGATGTAGATAGGAATAGTAGAATATGGATATAGATGGCAATTATGACAAGAGGTTTTTGCAACATTCTTCATTTCATCCAATTTAGGTTCTTGCAAGGTGGTAGATTAAAAGTAAAATGCACATGTATCACACATTTAACTAAGTGAAGTATGTTTTCCATTTGAAATATACTATTTAAAAATTTAAATAATTTGACAATCAGTTTAAACATTTTTACAGCAATTATTAATAGAAAAATACAGCTTTCTCAAATTTTGTTTCAGGTCTCGATATCTGAGGATTTTCTAATGACACAGGAACATGGACATCACGTTGTCTTTTCTATTAAATATAAGACAGTAACTGCTTTTCATAGTGTTATACCATAACAATGACTGGCCAGCTGAAGCACCACAAAGTGACCTTAATGATTATCAAGATTAGTGGGGAAAATTACCTTTGTTTTGTGACCTGGAAAAAATGTTTGTTAAAACATTAAACACTCTATTACTGCTTATTATAAATGTGTAGGGAAATGAAAAATACAGTAAAACTAATACTTAGTACATTATAATTTAAAACATTAGAAACACTGAGAATTAAACTGTCTTACTTCAATTCTAAAAATCTCACCAAAGGATAGTTTGAAAAGCCCTTGCCATCTTATCATCATATAACTTAAAATACAGAAAGAGCATCTCTTCTGTACCTTTACATAATGCTATACTCCATTGTAAGTATTGATGAGTTTCCAACACTTTTTCCTTTGCACTTTTAATGTCATGAAATACTATCACGAGTTCCTTTTACTATGAAATTTTTTGCCAGCATCACTTCCTCTGGGATATTGTCATCCTTTTAACTTTGGCTATACAGTGCCCACGCCAGCTCTTTATCTGTCTGGCTACTTTTGTCTTAAGTGACTGCTTCATTATATACCAATGTTTTTTTTCCCCTTTTACTTGAATCTCCTCTCTTTAAGACTTTCTTGTTTCCCTTATATGTTTTTAATTCTTGTTTTTGCAGTTGTGGATTATTTTAATTTCTTTTGAGTCTTCTCTCTCCTGTCCATTCCACTTCTCAAAATCCAGTCTTTCCTTCTCTGACAACACGCTTAGCATTGATTGTAGTCTTACTATGAGCTTGTAGATTTTCATGGATTATACTCCATAGTGGGGTTTTTCTTAAAACAATATTCATTAAAGAATTATTATTCTCTGTAAAATCTTTAAGTTATATTGAGAACATCAAAGCAACTTCTGTTTCTTTTTTCTATTAGGAAAATTTGACCTATGTGACTACATATTCGTATTGTACATGGAAGAAGAAGGAAAAAATACCTTTTTTTACAATTTTGGGCCCCAAAGTTTATTGTTATTGGTAGCTGGTTTATAGAAATCTGAGACAGTTTTGGCTTTTAAATGTTAAAATTGACTATAATATTCCTACATGAAAATTTTCAGATAAGCAGAAAGATTTGCCCAAATAATTTTCATAGCTTTTTTTGTGTGTATTTTCATTTTTTTGTTTCCACTTGTCTTCCTCCCCACTTTCATCTTGGCAAAGTAAGCCAGTAGGGTTTCATTTCAAATAGCAAATGAATTTTATATATAAATGCAATGAGATTAAATATATAAACAATATATTTAACAGAGGGGGAGAGGATGGTTAAGGGAGGTACCTTAATTGACCTATAATTGACTTTAAATTCCATTACCATTGGCGTATACCACCATATTGGCAAGAAAAAATGTTTTATTACTTCACTGAAATAATTAACATAAATCTGATTTTAACTAGTCAGTTATGGAATAAGATCAAGAGGGAAGATTTAAGGCCTAGTTTCCAACATATAAAAGGTTGGCCTCATGAGAAAGCATATTCTACTTGATCTCTTGCTTAAAATTATTTAAATTGTTTATAACATGTTTCACCTTGTAGGTTTTTTGCTAATAAACTGATAAAGATTGTGCAGCTCTGGGAAAAAGGAAATAAAATCTTGTCATTTTTTTCTTTTTTCTTCACTTTTAGGCAAGGTCATGTGAATCTTCCTCCACTTGAATTCAAACCAGCATTAATGTTGGAAACCTTTAGCATCAGTGCTGTTGTAATGGAAAAGTCAGTGTGCACCCCTCAGAACTCTACCAGTGCTCTTTCTTTTCATGATCTCAACAAACGGTATTATAATACCTTCCACTGTAACTTTACTATTTCTTGTCAGTCAATAAGCCAGCATGTGGATATGGCTTTGGTTCGTCTTATTCATCAATTTAGTACGATGATAGATGACATCAAAGCGACTCAGACTGACATTAAACTTAGCAGATATACAGCTGGATCGGCTTCCCCAACACCTACCTTCAAAACCAGAAAACATCGGGATTTTCGCTCATCTGACTTCAGCCGCAGTTCTAGAGGAAGTCTGAATGGTGGCAATAGAGTAAACAATGCAAAGAACAAACGGACCAACAATGAAAATAACAAAAAGGAATCTCGAAACAAAAATTCATTAGGAAGATCTGAAAGAAGAACTTCAAAAGTGTCTAGGAAAGGTTCAAAAGATGTGGTGGACCATATGACTATTCATATGGATGACTCTGATTCAATTACAGTGTCAGAACAAAGTGAGCCTTCGGCTGAGTGCTGGCAGAATATGTATAAATTACTTAACTTCTATTCACTTATCTCTGATCCAACAGGAATATTGGAAAAATCTTCAGAAACATTTGGACCAGCAGGTAATGGATATCTTTATATTTGAAAAATTTCTTTTTAGAACAGCAGTAAAACTAAAACAGACTGGTTGTTGATCATGTTTTCTTAATGTTATAAGTAGATAAATGAAATGCCAAGAAAATTGCCAGTCACCCATGGAGAGAAAATAGTAATGGCAGTCAGATAATCTGCCACCCCATTTCCTGTCCTTCCATACACAGTATGGTCTTAAAGATTCAGACATACTACTTTCAAATCTGACTGTGTTATTTACTGTCAGTATGATCATGGGAAAATGTTGAAAAATTTTAAAAATAATTTTGGTGAGGAAGAGGGCTGGTTTGGAATATGAAGAAAGGTAAGATGGTGTTTGGAGTGTCCTTCAATTTCACATTTTCCTATCTAAATCCATATGTTTTGTTTCCTTATAAAGGAGTTCGGAGCCCTACAGAGCCAACATGTAAAGTTGTGTTTGAGAATGAACAAGACAGTAATAGTTTGACTAAGACACAGAGGAAACGTAGCTTGGTGACTTCTGAACCTCAGCATGTTACTCTGATAGTGTTTGGGATTGGCATGGTGAACCGCACACACCTGGAGGCTGACATTGGGGGGCTAACAATGGAATCAGAACTGAAGAGGATCCACGGCAGCTTTACACTTAAGGAAAAAATGAAAGGTAGGGTGACGTTCTAACACTGTAGTGCTGCTTTTCTGAAAAAAAGCCAATGCCATGTCTCTAAAATTCCTACTTGGCAGTTTTTCTTCAAAAAATGAACTTTTCCATTTATATGGATGAAGAGTGCCACTTTATATAGTTTCTTTTCCTATTTTTTTAGTTTTCCAACTTTTCTGCACCAAGTATTACTTCTGAGATTTAAAATGCTTTTAGGCTATTTAATGCATGAATGGCATATTAAACTGTATATTTGGCATTATTCCAACTTTGACATATAATATGTACATATATATGAATACGCAGAAATAAAAAAAAAATTTTTAAGTAGTTCCAAAATAATTTAAATTTTATTATAAATAAAACTTAAATTATCTTTTGTCAATGAATGTATTATGGATAAAATGCAACTTTAATACAAAGTACAATTAATTTATTTCCAGATTTCATATAATTCTTTTTTCTTACATTTAAGATGTTTTACATCAAAAGATGACTGAAACGTGTGCCACTGCTCATATTGGTGGGGTTAATATTGTGCTGCTTGAAGGGATTACACCAAATATACAGTAAGTGTTGTTTTCTTCAAGTTGTTTATTACAGTTTTATAGGAAACTTAAAATTCATTGGATGAATCCCATACATGCTGAGTTTTGAGGTGTGTATACATTATGTTACCAGATACTATAGTTCCTATGTCATTAAGAATATCACCAAATGAAATGTTTTCAGAAAAATAATTTTTTCCCTTTTTACAGTTGGTTTACTACCCCCACACCCCACCCAAAAAAGCTGACTCCAAGTACACTATAAGTTTGTATAACAAGAAAAAATGATTATAATGCAAACTTCAGTTAAACATACACCATGCAAAAAGCTTACATAATTCAAATAGTTAAAATTTTAGTCAAAGAATACAGACTGTCTCTTGATTTTATGCTAAGTAATCATTACTCAAATTCATGCTGGCTTTTAAAATTGTATCTTGCCATTTTTCATTTAAAGAATTTAACAATAAAGCCTATGAGACTCTTGTAATAATATAGGTAAACTTTTTATAGTGAGTATACCATACCATATCACTTTTCTTTTGCTTCTTTGCTCTTAACCTTTTCTTTATAAGTTCTACTCTTAGATCTATTCTGAATTGTTCTGATAATGATTACCTTTCAATATATGCAGATCATTAACCTATTATCAGTATATTTCACCATTGACTTTGTTCATATGCTTGGGAGTATATATCTTAATTCCTAACTTCCTTTTACTGGAGCAGCTTTATGTTGTAACTACAAAATATGCTTTGATAATTTAGGTCAGATTTTGAGAATTTGCTGTTTCTTAATATAACTAGTTAATGTTCTGTCATCTTATAGTGAATCTGTCGTACTAAATACTGACTAAATAGAGGATTTTGTTCAGCTTCGTAAATATTAAGTGTTAATCATATATTGACTAGTAACAGTTCTATTCATATTTTAAACATGGGTGATGTGATAACTGTCTTGGAGAACATTTCCTTGAAATGGTTGGTTAAGTCTTACTGGGGTATTTTAGACCTGTAAACCTAGAGCCAAAAAGTATATTTCATTATAGATGCCTACTTGGTCCAGATTGCATTTCCTAAGCAGTCTGGAAAGACCAGGAAATTATAGTAGTTATGACAGACAAGATCTTTTCTGATCATTCAGTGTGGGAGAAGGGCGATTATGATGTAGTAATTACAATCTTAACAAGGACCTACTGTGAACCAGGAGCCTCTCATAGATTATTTTATTTAATCCTAATCTGAATCCTGTAAACTGGGGTGGTTTTATCCCACTTTACAGAATAATAAATTGAGATTCAGAAAGATAAAAGCTGTGCCTAAAATACTTAAAACCCTACAGTCAGAATTTTTGTCTGAATCTGTGCTTCTGCCAAATGTCACTACAGACCTTCAGTTCCATGGTTCCTTTGCTGGTTCTAAATTGAAAGTACCACGGCTACTTTAACTTATGCAGCAAGTAAAACAAATTTCTCTAGTTGTCTCAGGTGTCATTTACTCTATCCTCTTGAACCTTTTATCTCTATTATCTGTTATCTCTTAAGGGCTTCAAATAGTTTCCAGACTTGTAAAACAGTATTTATAAAACAGATTTTTAGAAAGTATTATATAGTTATATTTCTTGCCTTTGGGAAAAAAAAAACAACAAAGATCCCTTAACTTTTTTTTTTGAAAAATAAAAGTTATTAATTATTCACTGCCAAACTGTACTAGTGTTAAGACGTTCTGGATTTAGTCTTTGGTTTTTCATTTCTGATTTCAGTTAAAAGGAAATGAAACTAAAAAAAAATAGTTGAAAAGTTTCTTTGAGGGAAAATTTTAAAAGTGGGAAATAAGAAAAGCATTCCAGATGATTGGTCATGCTGTAACTAATTTATGTATGAATGTTTATTTGCTTCCTTTTTGTTTTCCTGCTTTCTCTTGAATCTTCATCTGTAGACTGGAGGATTTTCCTACATCTCCTACAAGCACAGCCAAACAAGAGTTTCTGTATGTCATATTATTTTTTTTCCCCATGGGCTTTGTGATTAATATAGTATTGAATAGTTTTAAAGAAATATTTCAATTATCTGCATGGCTGTGAATGTATGTAGTTGTTATTTTGTAGCTTTAATGTAGATCCTTTTATAGATTAAAGCTTACTGACATTCAAGGAACACACAGAGGTAAGGTGTACCTTTTGGTAATTCACACTTTGTTTTGTTGTTGAAAGATTTTAACACTGTAGTTATGTGTTGCTTGTGCTTTTTTAAGACACCTCACTGTTAAAATTTATATTATCATAAATCCTTCTTAAGGTTTGATGTGATAATAGAAACTAAAAAGTTTCACTTGCATATGAGTTTTTACTAATTACAAAAATAATTATTAAAACATTAATATATGAAAACATTGACATATCTCAACTTTATAATTTTGTTTTTTAGGTGAAAGTTAAAAAAAATAAGATGAGGAGAGTTTACTACTCTGTTGACAGATTTTATATATGCTTTAGTAAAAGTGCTTTTATATTTTGAGTGGCTTAATTTGACCCAGTTATATCTGATATTTTGTGGTAGTGAGCTATACTGAATGCTATTAATTTAAGTATTTGTTACATGAGTCTTACATGGGGGTGGAGATAGAGTAGAGATAATGAAGCCCCAGAGTAAATCCTCAAATTATTCACTCAGCCTATTGGATAGAAAAGGATGGGGCCTGCATTTACTTCCTGGACTCAAGAAGTAGAAGAAGCTGTGGATAGAAAAGGATGGGGCCTGCATTTACTTCCTGGACTCAAGAAGTAGAAGAAGCTGCGGAAAAAGTACTTGCCTCATTAGGCAGGTGGTCATTGTAGCTGATCACAGTGGATCTGTCAGAACCTTGTGAGGGTAGACTAACACTGCCAATGAATTCTTTAACAAGATTGTTTGGTTACTTGCCATGAACTTTTATATATATATGAGGCATGCCTAAGGTGCTACCTGTTGTTATAGTCTTCTCTTCAGAGAGATTTTGACCAGTTCTTTCTTGTGTAAAAGTATTACATATACTACATTACTGTAGGAGCTAGATTAAGTGACAAACTCTTCAAGAATTAAAATAAAATTATGAATAGATAACTCACCTAGCAGCTTGTAAACTATTTAATTCTTCATTGTGGGTCTCCTTATGTCTTTAACACGCACAGTTTGACAGGAGTTAATGTTAATCAGACACCCTCTATAGTTTCTGGCTCGGTTTGATCAAGATAGGTCTATCATGTTACCCAGCTCAGAAGAACACCACTCACATTGTAGTGGTAGGCATCGTTTACACAGACTACAGTGTGAATGGAGCCCTCTGGTGCTGGACAGCACAGAGCACCTGAAGTCCTTAACATCAGAATTTTCACTGGAAATATCATAGTAGGATCCATAATAGGAAAGCAATCAGCCCATTAGCTTTCCATTCTTACTTTTGCCATATACCTGAAATTCCAGTGTTGTATACGTGCTTATATAATCGAAAGTAATATTTAAGCAGACTTCTATAGATTATAAAGGAAGAAACAGCGAGATAGGTATAGAATTTTACTGTCATGATAAGAAGACAGACTTCTATGTATGTTTAGTTTCATTCAGTAGATGGATGCTGTTCACAAGTAAAAAATCATTTGCATTTTAGCACCATCTGAGTGTTCTGGCTTATGTTGAAATTGAATTTAAAATGAAATCTCATTGATGATAAAAGTAGCTTTATTTATTATAATATTTAAGAAAAGATTCCAAATTCAGTAACTTGTCAGTATCCCAGAATCTACTCTCATGCTGGCTAGACCAATTTCATAGATTACCTTTTTCCCTAGTCTGTGATAGTCTCTGAAAATAGTTGCCTTTGTAGAAGAAAGCCACATTGTTCTCCAGTAATCATGTTTTAATTTTATATAATACGTGGATTTCATTGTCTGTAAATAATCAACACCTCTGATAGAGCCATTGTTATGCTTCTCAAGGCTTATTTTAATAGAAGCTAAATATGATAAATTGTTTAGATCCTCGAGACTGTAAATAAATTCTCAGCAAATCCTCTACAACCTAAGTAGAGATAAATGTATGTCAACCGACCTGTAGTTAATATGAAGTTTGCATTTTTTATGTTGTTTTGCTAAATCTATTTATTGTCCAGAATCCTTTGCCCATTTGAAAGATAATATTTACGTTTGAAGCTATCCTTTTACTAACTGGGCCTTTAATGGTGCAGTTCATTGACGTGAACCTTTCCATTCTATACGTCAAAACTGCTTCATCATGACTTCTACATACATGACTTATCACATGTTATCGTGGAATTCCACAGCTCTAGTGTTGGGAGTCATTCCTCTGCTGTACTTCTTTCTGCTCATTAATTTCACAAAATTCAGTGAGTGCTGCCATGCTCAAGGTACTGTTGTAGGCATTGTAAGAGAAAACAAGAAATCAAGAAAGATAATATCTCTGCTTTGTGTCTGTATCAGTAAAGCTTACTAATTTTTAACTAAGTAGTAGTTACTTATTATGAATTAGACTTCTGTCATTTCTTTGACACTTGTTGAAAATTTTAAAAAATGGAAAATATAAGTTAAATTCCTTCTTTCCTGTTAATTTCTTCCAACATGTTAGATAATTGATGAATTCCTTTGATTAGACTCTAAGAAGTATAGTGAGTATTTTATTCTATATTCAGCATCTATACTTTCTTAGTGGTTACACATATCCCTAAAATAAATTGGGGGCAAAATGAGGAGTTCTGAATGGAGGAAAAGTAAAAATGGAACTTTGTGTGTTGTACACATGTAATATGTCCATGTTCATTCTTTTACTTGTGAGCACATACATGTTTTCTTCCATAAACTCTATTAAAGATACAGAATGATTTTCAGTGCAATGTAAAATAAATATATTTCAATGTTTTTATAAAATATTTCCTCAATATATGATTTAAATGCCTGAAAAATCTTAAGTCATTTAGTTCATTGAATGATTTAAAAGCATTGTCTTATTCTTAAAGTACTTTTTCAACATTTCTCTTTATTTGGCTATATTTTAATGGTCCTACTTCTTTATTAATAGAACTGTAGTGAAATGTAGTATTGCCAAGTCACAAGCCCTCTACAGTGCCCAGAGAGGGTTGAAGACTAACAATGCTGCCGTGTTCAAAGTAGGAGCTATCAGCATCAACATTCCCCAGCACCCTGCCACCTTACATAGCATGATGGTTCGGAGTTCCCACCAACTATCTAAGCAGATCTCAGATCTTATCAGACAGCCTTCTACAGTGTAAGTTATTTTTTCAAGTTCTATGGTTCTGTGTAATACTTTAAATTGGTCTTTGATGTGTTAACTATAGTTGGGAGGAAGACAGAGGGTTTCATCCAAATATTGACGTTATGAACTATGGTGCAGGTGGAAAGTATGTTTGTGGGAGAATCATATTGGGTATAAAGTACTTTGTCACAAATGCAATTGTCAGTGTTCTCTATTGCATCAGTAAAGCTTAAGAGATCCCAGAGAGGGACTCCTGGGTGGCTCAGATGGTTAAGCATCTGCCTTCAGCTCAGGTCATGATCTCCAGAGCCTGGGATCGAGCCCCACTTGGGCTCCCTGCTCAGCAGGGAGTCTGCTTCTCCCTCTCCCTCTGACTCTCCCCCTGCTTGTTCGCTCTCTCCCTCTTTCTCTCCCTCTCAAATGAATAGATAAAATCTTAAAAAAAAAAAAAAAAAAAGAGAAATCCCAGAGATTTGTGGGCATAATAAGAGGTACTAAAAAAAAGCAAATTAACAAATTCTAGGACTGTATCAATTCTTATTTACTTTAAACTCATTGAAATTTATGACTGCATAAGTTTAAAAATTACAGTGGCCAATTATATCCCATACATGGTTTTGTGTTGTCCTATGAAATTGTTGTACATGGTTCAAGGCAGGATATGATCATGCCACATAAATATTTTAAAGGGAAGAAAACTGGACCTTTGTACATTGATTTCTATTCCCTGTGTTTATAGCCCTTTTTCATGGGTCTGAATTGTTAAGATTTATTCCTGGTCCTTAAAGCTATATAACTAATGAATAATTAATAAAAATATGGTAAGTAAAAGGTAAAAAAATAGCCTTATTATAATCCTTTTGCTTAATCTGTAAGGTAGAAAAACATTAGTGTGTCTTTTTACAGTGTGCTAAAGCAGTGATATTTCTAATTGTTCTATATAGATCTTTAATTCTGACATAATATTCATGTCTGGTTGAGTAAGTACTAATAATTTAAATATGTTTCTCCTGTCAGTGGAGTAGGGCATCCAAAATGTGTACGTAAGACTTAGTTTAAAAATATGCTAAGGAACTTTTCCTTATTATAATGTATTGGCTGCAGAATGTTAAAAAAAATCAGACTCTTGTCAGAGCAAGTTAAAATCATGGTTTTCTAGCTATGCTTCCTCATCTGCAAAGCAGATAATCATACCTACTCAAAGGTTTTTGTGAGGTAAATGAAAAAATGATATAAAACACACAGAGCACTAAGAATATTACCTGGCACATACTAAGCACTCAAATAATTATTATTATTGGTGGTGGTGGTGTTATTAATAGTGGTAATGACAGTAGTGGTAACAGTAGTAATATTACCATCAGTAATAGAGTGCACAATGCTTAAGTCATAGAATTTGGAATCAGACAAACATGAGTCTTAACTCTAGTTTCACCTTAAGGATATGAATGGCCTTGACAGTATAACATTCGTTTGTATTGTTATTACTTCTTGTTTAATTTCTAGATCATCATTTTTCTGTGGCTGTTTTTAGGAAGTCTTAAGGGGGGCTGGTATTGAAAACCTCTGTTTACAGTTAATTTTTGCTATCTTTCATTGAGAATTCTAATAATTTTGTACAATAAAATGGTAGTTGTTCTAGTTGTATCTTTTTAAAGTGATTTTTTTTGCTTTATAGCCCACAGCCCATGAAAGAAGATATTGCAACGCCCCTACCTTCTGAAAAAACTCCAACAAGTGTTAATCAAACTCCTATTGAAACAAATGAATTTCCTCAGCTACCTGAAGGTTTAGAAAAGAAGCCTATTGTTCTTAAATTCAGTGCCATGTTAGATGGTATAGCCATTGGAGCAGCACTTTTACCATCTCTGAAAGCAGAATACAAAATGGGAAGAATGAGAAGTCATGGAATGACAGGTAACAGTGAATTTTGAATTCAGTCTCTTTAAATTTATGATTGGTTTGAGAAATTAGTAATATTTTGATGAAAAAGTACATTTGGTTTTGAAGATATTATATGAAAATTTAAATAATTTTATTTAGAGCACTTTTCAATTTCATTAATGTCCTTCAGTCAGGTAAAAAAATACCAGTTACACCTTCCTTGAATGACCAGCAGGGACCCCGCTTTTATTTGAACTCTTCAGAGCTATTCAACTCTTGAGGCCATTTCTGATCAAGCTTAAGTTAAATAAGTTTCCACATCTGTTAGTTTCTTTTTAGTCTGAATAACTTGGTTTATTTTCTCATTGAGTGAATTTAGCGCAAATCAGAGGTTATTTGGCTTCTTCAAAATAGCTACTTCTATAAGGTATTGTGATCCTTATATACTCTCTCCAAAAATTTTTTGCTGCTGTATTTTTATTCTGCAACTTATCATATCTACAAAAGTGTGTAAATTATATACACACAGTTTCAAGAATAATAAAGAACTGTAACCTTACCAACCCATTGCACAAACTAAGAATGAAAACATTACTAGTACTGTGAAGGCTCCTTCAATGAATATTATCACTACCAGATTTTCTTCATGACTGCTCATGGAATAACCACTAACATGAATTTTGTGTTACCCATTCCTTTGCTTTTCTTTATAGTTTTACCACATATGTATATACTCAAAATGGCTTATGTTTTGAACTTTATTTGTATGGACTTCCACTAAAATGTATTTTTTAATTGGAAGATTTTTTGCTGTACATTTTGTTTGAGATTCATCTGTTCATTCATGTATCTGCGGTTCATTCATTTTTCACTGAAACCTAATAGTCCAGTATGTGATTATATTGCAGTTTATCTACTCTACTATTGATGGACCTTTGGCTCATTTTATATTTTGCTTTTACAATTGTTCTCACACACATCTCTTGGTACATGTGCACGAGTTCCTCAAGGATATTTACTTAGGAGTGGTACAGCTAGACTGTAGGGTAAATACACCTTCAGTTTTATTAGAAAGTACAAAACTGGGGTGCCTGGGTGACTCAGTTGGTTAAGCGACTGCCTTTGGCTCAGGTCATGATCCTGGAGTCCCGGGATCGAGTCCCGCATCGGGCTCCCTGCTCGGCAGGGAGCCTGCTTCTGCCTCTGACCCTCCCCACTCTCATGTGCTCTCTCTCTCTCATTCTCTCTGTCTCAAATAAATAAAATCTTTAAAAAAAAAAAAAAAGTACAAAACTGTTTTCCAAAGTACTTGTGTTCACCAGTATTTACTGTCCTTCCAGTATTAAATGAGAGTTCCCATTATTCCACATCCTTGTCAACATTTGGTATATTCTGACTTTTAAATTTTTGCTTTGTCTGGTAAATGTGGAATGGTAGCTCATTGTGGTGTTAATTTGTATTTCTGTAATTAAGCTGATTTTTTTTGTTATTAAGATATCCTTATATGTTTTCTTATATGAAGTGCCTCTTAATAGTTATTGTTTTTGCCCATTTTACCATTGAATCATTTGTATTTTTTTTTGTTCACAGGAATTCTTTATATGTTTTATATGTTAAACTTTTAATATTATAAGTTTAACATACATTGTCATTTCATTAGAGGCTTATTTCACTTGTTGTCTTTTGACCAACAAATATTCTTAGTTTTAAAGTAATTGAATTTACCAGTATTTTCTTGTATGATGTGTATTTTTATATCTTAAATCCTTATCTTCCCAGGATATGAAGCTATTCTCTTATGTTTTCTGTTAAATGTTTTTAAATTTTGCTTTTTAAGTTCTTAATCTATATGGAATTATTTTTTTCTTTAATTTGGTGTGGATTTGTCTAATCAGTTACTGCAGCATCAATTATTGACTGATCTGTCCTTTTTTTCAATTGATACATAGTCCATTATTGTCATCTCTTAAGTGCTGATATATGTGGGGTCTGTTTCAGAGTTCTTTATTATGCTTCATTGGCCTGTTTGCACCACCTATTTACAGTCTCATATTGCTACCTGACATTTCCTTTTTAAGGATTTATCTTGGTTATTTTTAATTACTTGCTCCTTCATATACGTTTTAGAAATCAGTTTCTCAAGTTCTCTGAAAAAGCCTATTTCGATTCTTTTTTTTACCTTTATATTATTTTATTATTACTTATTTTTTTTCTTATGTTATGTTAGTCACCATACATAACATTAGTTTTTGATGTAGTGTTCCATGATTCATTGTTTGCGTATGACACCCAGTGCTCCGTTCAAGAGGGCACATACTGAATGGAGCCTATTTCGATTCTTATAAGAATTTAATTAAATCCGTAGATTTACTTGGGGAAAATTGACAATATTTTTTTGTGTTTTTGTTTTTATTTTTTTAAAAAAGATTTTATTTATTTACTTGACAGAGAGACAACACAAGCAGGGGGAGTGGCAGGCAGAAGGAGAGGGAGAAACAGGCTCCCTGCTGAGCAGGGAGCCCAATGTGGGGCTTGATCCCAGGACCCTAAGATCATGACCTGAGACAAAGTCAGACGCTTAACCAACTGAGCCACCCAGGCAGAGAATGGACAATATTGATTAATACCGAGAATTGATGCAGTATTTAACCCTTCTATTCTTGAATATGTTCTTCTTTGTCTCTTTAGGTCTTCAGTGTTTTTCTGCAAAGTTTAAAATTTTTCAACCAAAGATTTTTGTGCTTCTGTTACAAAATATATTTATTTGCATAGATTCCTAGGTAACTTGTGTTATTGTTATTGTTGTTTAGTTACTATGAATGGGATATTTTGTAAAATGGCATTTTCTAAACTGGTGGTGAGATATACAAATGCGCTTGATTCTTTTATGTTAATTTTATACTCAGCACCATAGTAAACTTTTTTTTATTGCCAATAAGATTCTTTGGAGTTTCCTAGGTAGATACTTTACCATGTGTAAATGATACTTTTGTTTCTTCCTTTCCAGTCTTTAAGAATTTGTATTTCTTTTTCTTATTGTGCTTCTGCTACAATGTTCAGAAAAGGGTATTGTGGGCATCCTTGTCTTACTCTTATTTCTTAAGGGAATCAATATTTCATCAATGAATGTGATGTTTGCTGTAAGGTTTTGCTAGATTCCCTTTATCAGGTTAAGAAAATTGACTTCTATTCCTAGTGTGCTAAGAGTTTCTATGAAGAAAAATTGGTTAATAGTATCAGATGCTTTTTTCTACGTCTATTGAAATTAAAATGTTTTTTCTCCTTTATACCATTAACATAAGTTGTATTACCAATTTAAAAATGTGCATACATTGGCATATATAAATATGTACACACATGTATTTATATATATTTACATGTATGTCTTTATTCCTACTCCTAGCATTTTAACTTTTCTTTATAGAGAGGGATTTTTCTGAACATCTAGGTCTTTCTGTTACTAGAAAGAGAAGCACTATGAAGGGAGCTTCCAGATTTGGCAGAGTGAGAAGTATTAGGGCCTTCAGATATTGGCCTGACAATAAATTAGACTCATCTTGATCATTTATTCAGGGCATCCATGAAATGTAAGACTCAACAGAGACAGCAAGTCAAAAGCCAAATAGGCAGTTGGAACTAGGAAGAAATGAATATTTAGGAGCAAAGTAAATGTACTATCAAATATCAAATTAGTTCTTCTTGAAATGAAGGAGAGGGACAAAAATAGTAAAAGAATGGCTATACTAGTGATAAGGGATGACCTGAGGCCTAGGATTACTTCAATCTTGATGTTTTTATTTGGTAATGCTGGTGGTAGTAGTAGAAATTTTAATTTCTGTGGTAGCCCCCCAACCTTTGCATCCTGCAAGTGATGGTCACTGAATCTGCCTGGTTGGAGTTAGTAAGAGAAAATCAGAGCAGTCATGATCCATCTAGCCATTCATAGTTGTATGCAACATTGGTGAAAGAGCTTTTTTCTGTTTATGCCTAACTCATTCCAATTATAAACATCATTGTATAGTTAGTGAATAGTAAATGTAACATACAGGAGTGATCTTTTACTAGTATTTTGAAAAAAGAGAATTATTTCTGGCACAATTGAGAACACTAGGAATATTTATTAAATCATAATATGTATGTAGGCAAAATAGGCTATTTAATGATGTTTGGAGAGAATTGGTAACGTATGGTGTAAGACTTGGTTGGTTGGAAAGGAGCGCATATGTATATACAATGGGCAATGATAGATCTTGATTTTAACAGGGCTTCTTCTACTCCTTAATGCCTTCATAAACAGCTGGAGAAATATGGCTCGAATAACAGTATAGGTTGTACATTTATAATTATTTGAACAACTGCATGCCAAATTGTTGATTTAAGTGTTTAGAACCAACAGTAGTTTTAGTAAACTAAAACTCATACCATGTCCCGATTTGGTATATGGTCCTGTTAATAATTATTGTTAAGGTAAAAAATACATGTGTTTGCATAATTTTATACCTGATGAATGTTTTCAATGAGTACAATGATTTGACAGTTTTCACTATTTCCTTCCATACTGAATCAGGATCAGGAGGCTAGTTGTTAGGTGCTAACTTCTCTGTTAATAAAGCAGAATGAATGTGAATATGGATTAGAATTTTTTTTTTACACTTAATTTCTCTTGTTATAACTCTTCTGTGATAAGGGCAGTTTCTTTCTGTTCTACTTTCTATGAAATAAAGAACATTTGTAGGTGTTTCTCTGGCACCTAGTTGGCTTAATAAATAATACTTGCTGGCTTAATAATACTGACTGATTCTTTATAGTACTCATAAATATATATATAAGGATTTATTTTATTTGGGATATGTATGCATTTTTTTAGAAACCAATTTTTTGAACAAAGGAGTGAATGAGCACCTGAACAAACAAACAATAACTTTTCTTATTTCTTACAGGTGCACAGACCAGGTTTACATTTGAGCTGCCAAATCACAGATTACGTTTTACTTCGAAAGTTTCTGCCACAGATATGTCAACCATTCCTCCTTCTGCCAGTCTCAACCTTCCTCCTGTTACTATGTCAGGGAAATATATAATGGAAGAACATGATAGTTATTCAGATCAGGTGTGGAGTATTGATGAACTACCTTCTAAACAAGGGTACTATTTACAGGGAAATTATCTACGTTGTGTGGCAGAAGTAAGTCTACTTTTTAATTTTCTTATTCTTTGTCATTTAGAAGTCTTTAAGCTTTAGGTGTACCAAACTTTTAAGACAAATCATTATATCATTTGTTCTCACAGAATTTTATACCAAATTTGGGGTGTATGTATGTACACATGTGTGTACATATCTGTCTCTCTATAGTTTCATGTAAATATGCTTTTTTTATTAGTCATGTTTGAATTTGTATTTCGTATATTAGATTTCATATCCATCTCTTGAATACTTTATGGTTCATTTGACTATAAAAAAACTAATAGCATTTATATGCATTGACTTGTATAATACTTAAATCAATCCTAAGAGGCAGATATATTTGTTCTCATTTTGTAAGTGAAAAAACTGAGCTTTCAGGAGGTTACATGATTCATCAGGAATACGTAATTATTAACAATCTTTTTTTCATAATTATTAACAATCTACAGGTCATACAAATAAAATAATTACAGTTAAATTCAGACTAATTTCTTTACTAAGGGAAGTTGAAAACCAGCATACCTGATTCCATCATTTTTTCACTTTATATTGGTACAACTGTCATAAGTTTAAAAACCTTCCCATACATATTTTTTACTTGATTTGTGGTAAGCAGGTCATCTGTTATTATACTAATTTAATACAGTAGAAAATTGAAGCTGAGAGAAATTAAATAACTTTCCCTAAATCTTTCCACTATCAAATGAGCAATGTAGGATTCATACACAGGGCTGTCTCTCAGCTTGCTTTGTCAGTTTTTCAGAAACAATTGCAACTTTATCAAAAAGCAGTTTTCTTTTTTTTAAATTTTATTATATTATGTTAGTCACCATACATTACATCATTAGTTTTTGATGGTAGTGATCCATGATCCATTGATTGCATATAACACCCAGTGCTCCATTCAATACTTGCCCCCCCTTAATACCCATCACTGGGCTAACCCATCCCTCTACCCCCGCACCCCTCTAAAACCCTCAGTTTTTTTCTCAGAGTCCATAGTCTTTCATGGTTCGTCTCTCCCTCTGATTTCCCCCCCTTCATTTTTCCCTTCCTACTATCTTCTTTTTTTTTTTTTTTTAAACATATAATGTATTATTTGTTTCAGAGTTACAGGTCTGTGATTCATCAGTCTTACACAATTCACAGTGCTCACCATAGCATATATCCTCCCCAATGTCCATCACCCAGCACCCCCCATCCCTCCCCCCCCCCACCACTCCAGCAACCCTCAGTTTGTTTCCTGAGATTAAGAGTCTCTTATGGTTTGTATCCCTCTCTGGTTTCATCTTGTTTCATTTTTTCCTCCCTTCCCCTATGATCCTCTGTCTTGTTTCTCAAATTCTTCATATCAGTGAGACCATATGATACTTGTCTTTTTCTGATTGACTTATTTTGAAAAAGCAGTTTTCTAACTATTTCTTTTATAAGTTTTATTCTCTAGAATGTGAAGCATGTGTGAGAATACTCTTTGAGTTCTTTGCTAGAAATATTACAGCTATGGGAGATATTTAAGTCTGGTTTACCTTCTTTATTTTTTTTTTATTTTTTATTTTTTATTATGTTATGTTAGTCACCATACAGGTTTACCTTCTTTAGATGCTGCTTACCCTAGCACCTCTCTAAAAGTTGTGATGTTTTTATGTGAAAAATGAGTGTACAAATAAAATAGTGTACAAGATTCTAGAAGTCCAATACTTACCTAAAAGATAGATTATAAAGCATATTTCATTTGTGCTTTCTATTCTGGAAAAGAAGTGCTTCAAACTCTAGTTTAGCAATACTATTCTTAATGCCTTATTTGACAGAAAATAAAACAAATCTGATGCAGTATGTTGCATAATTCCTTACTGATACTAGCTATTAGAAAGGTATAAAGTTTGTAATTGGGGAAGAACACAATCCCAGATTTGCTAAGAATGCAGTTAATTAAAAACTCTTGAAAGAATCTAAAGTTGCATTCCTCAAACAGTTGCCTGTTTTACTATGGCTTGAAATAAATACACATGAAAATCATCTTAGCCCATTCTGTACTATACTATACAAAATAAAAAGCGGCTAGTGCAACTTAGACTTTATGTAACTTCTCGTTTAAGTAAAGACTACTAAATCTGTTTTGCTTTATTTTTGATCAAAATATGAATGCTAACAAAGTGGTAAATTTGAAGCATTTGCCTTACTCATAAGGGTGTTTCAATTTTCTTTACTATAATACTCAACTTCAATTAGGACCTGTTTTCTATTTAATCTATTAATTCTTCCCAGAAATCTTATGCTTTATACTAATTATAGGGCATATATTAAAGCTGATGGAGTATATCTGATTTGCTATTTCATGCGAAGTAAGCCTCTTGAGAGCCATGATTTTGTTTTTATTCACAGCTATATCCTTAGCATCTAACAAGGTACACAAAGTAGATGGTCAATATATATTTGAATGTGCAAATAAATTTACTTTCATGTGTATTAATACTTGTCCATGGTTCTAACAATATGATAGTAGTCATTGAAAATAAATACCATTCTAGACAAAATTTCAGTTTTGAAATTAGCAGGTTACATAAAGTATAAATTTCATTCACTTTTGAAAGATAGAAAAAAGACACTTTATTGGCCACTGTTATTAAAAAAAATTAAGGAATGGCCCATAATAATGTCAGACCAGTAAATGTTGGGCAATCTGAATATTCTATAACCTTTTTTCGAAGAATATGTAGATAATTCATTGTTTTTCTTCAGAGTTTGGGATGACCTATGTGAGCAAAAGATGTAGTTACAACAAATACAGTCAGTATTGTTAATCTAATATTCTGATTTTGTTTGACAGGTTGGTTCGTTCGAACATAATCTCACAACTGATCTTCTAAACCACTTGGTATTTGTACAGAAAGTGTTCATGAAGGAAGTTAATGAAGTAATACAGAAAGTTTCTGGTAAGATAATCTAGTACCTTATAATATAGAATATATAGCAGATTTTTATTCTCATCGGCTACATGATGTTCCATTTATCTGTGGTATAAGTATTGATCTTATCATTTAGATATAGTTGTTGAGTCATTCCCTAAAAACTCTTTTCCTTTTCTGGCTTTTCCACCTACAGATTCTTTTGCTTATTATTTTGTCATGTGTAATATATACATTGATGATTTATAAACTAAACAAAGCTCCTTTATGCTTTCTCCCCCACCCCCACAAAAAGAGCTAATAGTGTATGTCTATTAACCAAACTAATCTTACTCATTTGGGAACAAGATTTAGATCAATATAAGATTTTTTTTTTTAATATGGTGACTCTGCTTGCTACCTGGTAAATCATCTGTAGCAACCCTTATCATATTTTTGCTGTGCATCAGGAGTAGATTACAAATGAGCATCTTAATCACAGTTTTACATTTAAACAGGAAATATATGTTTGATTTAAAAAATGTTTAACTGACCTTTAATTCACAAGATAAAGTATTAAGAGGTATTAGGATGGAAAATAAGTGGACTCTGCATAAGAATTCTCGAGGCTAAATATTTCCAGTATGGATATAATCATGTTAAAATAATAGTGAAAGCCACATCTATAAATTGCCATCCAGAGGACATTCCTCCATGTTGATGAATAAATTCATTCATTTAACTGATTTATTGAGTAAGTATCTGAGTATTCAGTTATAATTTTAATGAATCCTGTGAATGACAAGAACAGTGTGCTGGGTCTGTGTCAGAGGAGAAGCTAATATAGTTTAAGAAATCAGAAAAGGCTATGCAGAGGAAGTTATATTCCAAAACCTCATAAATGAAATCTATTTGGCAAGAAAGGAGAGGTAGAGAGATGCAGGCAGAGCTTATGGACAAGTATTCGATAAGGCCCCAAAGGGGGACAAAACTCATTGCAGTAGGGAATTAAATTATATAGTACCCATGTGAACAACAGATTTTCCTGATTCTCATGAGCTGCTTCTGATTTTATCTGAAGTCAGGAAACTACTAAATGATTATATTGAAGAAGCTCAGTAGAGCTATAGAATTTCACGAGTTAAGTTGTAAAAAATCAGATCAATTGGTAGCCTTGGAATTTTTCTGAAAGTGGTTGAATACAAACCATTAAGGAAGAAAAAAAATAAATAGCAAAACCCTTTCTGCCACTGAAGGTGCCTGTATTTGGGCAATATACAGAAGTTTTGATGTGTCCCGTTTACCTGGTTAAAATCACGTTAGAACATTGAGATATAGAAGTTCAGAATATTTTAAGCTGGCAAATTTTTATGAGTTCTATAGAATATTTTCAAGTCTGTTATTGCTGAATATGTATAATGATAAAATATATAGACTCTTAAAGTAACTAATTTTGTATCTTTCATGGTTAAAAAGCTAGCATTATAGAGTTCTAATATCAGACTGGCACTCTAAGTTGCCCTTAAGGTGGTTTTGACGAAAGAGAAAGGCTTTTCTTAACCTTCAGATTACAGTCAGTGAGGAGTTACAAGTATATCCCTAGGTCTATGAAGAATGAACTGGAAAAGAAGACTAGAAATTAATATTCTAACCATGAAGATTTACTAATCACTGTGAAGAATTCAGAGATAAGATTCTGATACTAAAGTAATTTAGTGGCTAGGTTTGATCCCTGAACCATTCCTTCCTGACTATAGAGTGAACTCTAGGAAAATGGCTGAAAGTAAGTCATTTATCATCTAGCTGGCCCCAGGACCTCATGGAGCAGAGATTTTACAAAACTGGAGAGTGTAATATTTTATTGAGAGGGAATACTTTGAACCCTTGTAGCCGAGTTTCTTAGTATTCTAATCTCTGTATTGCTTCCCTACTCTCCCATAATCTTCATAGTTATTGTCCTTATTTCTTTGTTTCTTACACCTTTTCCTCATGCTTTTCCTTAATATTACAGTTAGCTCTAGGACATTTTCTAGGACAGCAGTCATCAAGTTTGTTAGTAAAATTCTTTTTTTGAGGAATCAGTTCTTCTAATCTTATTGTCCATGGACTCCCTGGGTTTTAGAAAGATGTAGGTAAGCACTGACCTAGTAAACAGAAGAGATTTAGTTTTGAATATGGACAGCCATCATAGAAACAGTGGAATGCTCAACCTAAGCTTATATGCTGGAACATAAAGACACTTGCAATTTTATCCTTGTTAACTACTACAATTGACAACTTTTCATTAAAAAAAATGTTTTGGTACAGGAAAAAAAAGAAAGAAACATATAAGGAGGTTACCTTCTGAGAATTGGTCCAGTTATATATTTAATTCATAATGAGGTAAAAAACTGTGGAATTGATGTGACTAATAGTGTCTCTGATATTTCTATAAGCTAAAATTATTGTACAGTATATTTTGTAAGAGGCAGAGCTCTTGCTTTTAAATTTTAAGAAAAAAAATTTCTGTGACGGGTTAAAAGATATTCAAGGCAGTGATTAAAAAAAAACAAAAAACAAGTTTTTTTAAAAATAAACTTATTAGAGCAATTTTTGGTCCATAGCAAATTGAGGGAAAGTTACAGAGATTTCCCAGATATCTCCTGCCCCCAGTCATGTATAGCCTGGCCCATTGTCAACATCCCCCACCAGAGTTACAACTGATGAATCTGCATTGGCACATCATTATCATCCAAAGTTTATCTTTTACATTAGGGTTCACTTTTGTTGTTGTACACTCTGTGGGTTTAGACAAATGAATAATGACATGTATAGTATCCTACAGAGTAGTTTCACTGCCCTAAAACTTCTCAGTGCTCCACCTATTTATCCCTCCCTTGGTTGCTTCCACATTTTGGGAATTATGAATAAAGCTACGGTAAACATCTGTATGCAAGTTTTTGTGTGGACATAAGTTTTCAGCTCCTTTGGATCATAACCAAGGAGTATGACTGCTGGATTATATGGTAAGAATATGTTTAATTTCATAGGAAACTACCAAAAGTCTTCCAAAGTGGCTATACCGTTTTGCATTCTCACCAGGAATGAATGAGGGATCTTGCTGCTCCATATACTCATCAGCATTTGGTGTTGTCAGTGTTCCAAATTTTGGCTATTCTAATGGGTTTGTAGTGGTATCTTAGTATTTTTTAATTTTCATATCCTGATGATATGATGATACTCTGTAAAGGATCTTTTCTTGTGCTTATTTGCCATCGATGTATCTTCTTTGGTGAGGTGTCTGTTAAGGTCTTTGGCCCATTTTTTAATCACGTTGTTTGTTTTCTTGTTGAGTTTTAAGAGCTCTTTGCATATTTTAAACAACAGTCCTTTATCAAATGTATCTTTTGGAAATATTTCCTCCCAGTTATGGCTTGTCTTCTCATTCTCTTGACATCGTCTTTTGCAGAGCAGAAGTTCTTAATTTTAGTGAAGTACAGTTTATCAATTCTTTCTTTCATATATCTTGCCTTTGGTGTTACATCTAAAAAGTCATCACCATATGGAAGGTTATTTAGGTTTTCTTTTATGTTACTTTAAACGACTTTTATAGTTTTGCATTTTACATTTAGGTCTGTGATCCATTTTGAGTTAATTTTTGTGAAGGGTATAAGGTCTATGTCTAGATCCATTTCTTTGCATGTGGATATCCAATTATCCTAGCACCATCTATTGAAAAGACTGTCTTTCCTTCATTGCATCGCCTTTGCTTCTTTGTCAAAGATCAGTTCACTGTATGGGTCTATTTTTAGGCTTTCCATTTTGTTCCAGTGATGTATTATTTGTCGATTCTTTCACCAGTCCCACACTGCCTTGATTACTGTAGCTTGTAGTCTTGAAGTCAGATAATGTCAGTACTCTAGCTTTGTTCTCCTTCAATACTCTTTTGGCTATTCTGGGTCTTTTGTCTCTCCATACACACTTTAGAATCAGTTTGTTGATATCCACAAAATAACTTGCTAGGATTTTGATTGGGATTACATTGAATTTAAAACTGAAATTGGGAAGAATTGACATCTTGACAATATTGAGTTTTCCTGTCTATGAACATGAAATACCTCTCCATTTATTTAGTTCTTTTTTGATACCATTCCTCAGAATTTTGTAGTTTTCCTCATATAGATCTTATACATGTATTGTTAATTTATCCCTGATTAACTTAATTAATTTAATTTTTTGTGGTGCTAATGTAAATGGCATTGTGTATTTAATTTCAAATTCTACTCTTCATTGCTGGTATATAGGAAAGTGATTGACCTTTATATATTATTAACCTTGTATCCTGCAACTTTGCAATAATCCCTTATTGGTTCCAGCAGTTTTTTTTGTCAGTTCTTTCAGATTTTCCACATATATAATCTTGTCATTTGTGAACAAAGACAATTTTATTTTCTTCTTCCCAATCTCTATACCTTTTATTTCCTTTTCTTGTATTATTGCATTAGCTAGGACTTTCCATATGATGTTGAACAGGAATGGTAAGAGGAGTCATCCTTGCCTTGTACTTTATCTAAGTAGGAAAGTTTCAGGCTTTTCACCATTGAGCATATGATTTTAACTATAGATTTTTGTAGATATTATCAAATTGAGGAAATTTTCCTCTATTCCTTTTTACTGAGAATTTTTATTATGAATGGGTGTTGGATTTTTGTGAAATGCTTTTTCTGCATCTTTTTTTTTTAAGTTTATTTTTTATTTAAGTAATCTCTACACCCAACATGGGTCTTGAACTCATGCCCCAAGATCAAGAGTTGCATGCTCTTCCAACTGAGCCAGCTAGGTGCCCCTTTTTCTGCATCTCTTGATAAGACCATGTGATTTTTTACAAGGATTGTGATGGATTGTATTAATTTGGTTGCCTAATAGGAGAAAACTTCCTATCCCATGTACATATGCTCCCTGGGATGATGCTAAACTCAACATACATACAAAAATATTAATCATTTTAAGATGGAAAATTTAAAAGATAAACAATTTTCTTTTCGTCAAGGGGATGAAAAGTGGAAATAGAAGGTAAACATTAAAATATTAGAATTATTGGGGTGCTTGGGTGGCTCAGTTGTTAAGCGTTTGCCTTCGGCTCAGGTCATGATCCCAGGGTCCTGGGATTGAGCCCCGCATCAGGCTCCCTGCTCAACGGGAAGCCTGCTTCACCCTCTTCCACTCCCCCTGCTTGTGTTCCCTCTCTCACTCTCTTTCTCTGTCAAATAAATAAATAAAATCTGTAAAAAATAAAAAAATAATAAAATATTAGAATTATTTCATGGATGCCACATTGCCGAGGCAACAAATGATAGGAACTCTACCCCAGGGTTCCCTGACTCATTTTTTTTTTTTTAATTTGTAGGACAAACCTTTGCTGAAACACTCTTTATTATTAGCATGCATTACCTTATTTTTAAAATTTCACCACCTTTATTTTTTCTTTTATTCTTTTTTGTTTGCGGCACATCTAAATGTAAACAACAAAGTTCACATTTTTGATTGAAGAAATTAGTCCAATTTACTTTTTTCCCCTCAAATACATTTTCTGAGATATATAATTACATTTGTTTAATTATATACATAATGTTTTTAGTCCTTATAAAATGTTCTTAATAAATACCTATCTATATATGCAGTATTATCCCTAACATATATATATAACACATATATATATATCATATATATGATATATATATATATGATATATATATCTGTGTCAGTGAAATGTAACATGGCTACAGTTCCCTATTAAGGATTGAGTTAATGATTAGAAAAAAATTAACTGTTTTATCTTTTTTTAAATGCACAAAATAATTATTATTTTCCTCTTAAAGTGATTGCCCCAGACCCTCAATTACTTAATCTGTTTAGGTGGGGAGCAGCCTATTCCTCTTTGGAATGAACATGATGGAACAGCAGATGGAGATAAGCCTAAAATTCTGCTCTATTCCCTGAACTTGCAGTTTAAGGTAACATATAAGTAATTATACTTTTCAAAATATTTTTCTAAGTATTTAATATATTCTAGTTATAGGAAATTCATATGATACATAAATGTGCAAGTAGAAAATAAAAATGACATATGACCGCATCCACTCAAGAGAAAAAGCTTTAGCAATTGAATGTCCTTTAGGACTATTTCTCTTTGTATTTTTATATATGCATATATTTATTACATTTTAGAAGCCTTGAATACCTTTCCATGCCAGAACATATAGATCAACTTTATCTTCCTGAATAGCTATTTATTATACAGTTGCTGGTAAATATTTTTATTTTTTTCTAATTATTACAGTTATAAGTTACTCTGTAAGAAATACTTTGTACATTTGTCCAATTAACAATAATACCTTAATAGAAACCTTAATGTTTCCAGTACTTAAGATATCAGTGTTAAAAATACTATTACCAAATAGTTATAATTAATGTATTTAACTCATGAACAGTTCAGATGTTAAATACAAAATGTTAAAATGAAATTTAAATGCTAAAAAATTCCCTACTAATATGAGAAATTAAAGAATGTTGCCAGTTTTATCAGCTTATTAGATAGCCCATATGTGTTATAAAATGTGGCTATTTTATCATATTGAAAGATTTCATTTGAGTGAGTGCCTATTGTTGATTTAAGATTCTTTTTTTCCTCCTAACATATAATCTGCTAGGGTATTCAAGTAACAGCTACTACTCCATCAATGAGAGCTGTCAGATTTGAAACTGGATTGATAGAGCTGGAACTTTCGAATCGACTTCAAACCAAAGCTTCACCAGGGAGTAGCAGCTATCTGAAACTGTTTGGTAAATGCCAAGTGGATTTAAATCTGGCATTAGGACAAATTGTCAAACATCAAGTGAGTACAGAATATGCTGATATTAGAATTTTGGCTTTTAAATTTTGTATATCAATTTGAACTACTTTAAATATTACTATACTTTAAAAAAGTATTTAACATTCCTAAAATTTCTAATTGTAAATTGGAGTGAAACCTCATTTAAGAAGGCCTTTACAATTTTAGTTTGTCATTTCATTGTTTTTGGATGGTATATTGCTATAGTTTAGTGCAAATGCAGTCACATGAAGCTTAATTCAGCATCTTCAATTCCTCTTGATTTTGTTAAGAATTATTTTTTTATTTCAGCATTTTGAACTAACTTTGTTCTTAAAATGTCTAAGTTCTTAAAATGTCACTAAGTTTCTTAGCTGCCCTGTTTAATATTGACAAGTTTTGCATACCGTAATGCTAAACATAAAAATTTTACATATGCCAGGTTTTACACATGTATGTGCATATATGTTACACATATATGTGTTCATGTGTATATATGTCTGTACATATATGTATATATGTGTATAGAAAGTTTTACACATATACATACATAGAGCAATAAATCAGATTCTATTTTATAAAAATATAATTTTCACACCTCATTGGAGCATTTTTTGTTATTGTTTTTATTTTGTTAGAAATTATTATGTAGATTTTAACCTTTTTCCTTCATTTGAAGAACTGATTAAAAGAATACCAGTCATACTTTCAAAATTGAAAGGCTATATTAAAGATTACATGGAATAAATGAAGAAAAATTTTTTGCCGTCTCTAGAAAAACAGTAATTTTTTCCAAGTGGAAACACATGTTGAGAGGAAAAAGGATCTAATTATCTTGAAACAGTTATATGTTGACATTAAAAATATGGACCTCAGTCTGGGAGGGAGAAGCAAGATGGCAGAGGATTAGGAGACCTAAATTTCGTCTGGTCCCAGGAATTCAGCTAGATAGGGATCAAACCGTTCTGAACACCTATGAACTCAAAAGGAGATCAAAGAAAAGAATAGCAGCAACTCTCTGAACAGAAAAGCAACCACTTTCTGGAAGGTAGGACATGCGGAGAAGTGAATCTGAGCGATCTTTGGGAAGATAGATGGTGGGGGAGGGGGCCTCCGTCAGTGCTACTGGCAAGTGATAGAGCAGCAGAGCACAAAATCGGAACTTTTAGAAGTCTGCTCCGCTGAGGGACGTAGCTCCGTGGCTAAGCGGGGGGTGGAACCTTCGCTGGGACAGTGTGGTCTCAGGACCCTCAGGGTCACAGAAAGACCGGGGGTGCCTGAGTGTGGCAGAGCTCCCAGCAGGGAAGCGGGCTGCAGAGACGGAGCTGAGGAGTGGGCTCACAACTCGGGGTTGCCATTAACCATGATCCATGTCACAGTCGGGCCACTGCTCTTCCAGCAGGGACCCAACAATCAGCAGATCCGGGGAGACTCCCCTTCCTCCCTCGGGAGGAGTGGCGTGGGAGCGCACCGCAGGGATCTTCTGGGTTTGGAGACTCCACATGGGGTCGTGTGCCAGAGATAGAAATGCTCGGTAACAGGCCGGGTAAGCACGGAGTGCAGCTGGAGACCAGGGAGATGGGAGTGATTGACTGCTTTTCTCTGGGGGCACACTGAGGAGTGGGGCCCCGAGCTCTCGACTCTTCTGGGGTGGAGATTGGGAGGCCGCCATTCTCACTCTCATCCTCCAAAGCTGTACAGAAAGCTTGCAGGGAACAAAAGCTCCGAGAGCAAACCCGAGCACATTAGCCTGGCCCCCGGCAAGGGCAGGGCAATTCCGCACCCCCGCAAAAACATTTGAGAACCACAGCAATAGGCCCCTCCCCCAGAAGATCAGCAAGAACAGCCAGCCAAGACCCAAGTTTACCGATCAATGAGAACGGCAGAACGCCAGCGCTAGGGGAATACAGCACATACAATTCATGGCTTTTTTCCCCCTGATTCTTTAGTCTTTCAAAGTTAATTTTTTTAATTTTTTTTTTTAATTTTTCTTTTTCCCTTTTTCAACCAACATCTTATCAATCCCTTTTTTAAAAAATCTTTTTTATTTTTCATTGTTAGAGTCATATTCTATCCTTTCATAGTAGTTAACATTATTTTTGGTGTGTATATATATATATAAGTTGTTCTCTCTTTAAAATTTTGGTATACAGTTTCTTCTAACAGACAAAAATATACCCTAAATCTCTAGTGTATGGCTTTGTTCTAGTCTCCTGCCTGATCACATTCTCTTCCTTTTTTTTTTTTTAATTCCTCCTCTTTCTTTTTTCAACCAACTTCTTATCAATTCCTTTTATAAAATCTTCTGTAATTTTCATCTGTACAGTCATATTCCATCCCTTTTGGTATTTACCCTTATTTTTGTACATATATAAGTTTTTCTTTCTTTAAAATTTTGGGAGGCACTTTCTTCTAACAGACCAAAATACACCCAAAATCTAGTGTGTGGCACTGATCTATGTACCAGCGTGATCAAATTGGATCATATTCTTTTTTTCTTTTTTTTAATCTTTTTCTTTTTCTTATTCTTATTCTTTTTTCTTTCTTTCCCTTTCTTTTTC